ATACATTGTGTTATTAGTTTTTCAACTCTACCACAACTTTTAAAAAGAGACTAGATTTGAAAGGGGGGGGGGATAACTGTTTTGCCTTCTATTGAAACCATATCATTAAAAATGCTGCCTTAAGACTAAATAATTGAAAACTAGGACTAAAAGCTAGCAGGGATAGAAGAAAATACAACAACAAAAAAACTGGCAGGGAGAAATAGACTAATATGTAATCTGTAGATATTAAGAAGCAAAGACATTTTACCCCAAAATATTAATGCCTCATCCTGTCAGACCATTTTTTCCCTGTCTTCTCACTCTCACATTTATGCGCGCTGATTTGTTTTTTGAAACGAAGGATTGTAAACCAATTGGTTTCTACCATTAAAAGCCTTTTTCATCCATCAAAGACTTATATTAAGGGAACAGAAAATTAGCCACACTATATTATCTCCTAGGATTTTCTGAAAATTTTCCAAATGTCTAAAGGAAGTTTATTAGAAAATGATAGTTTCTGAAAATTTCATTACTCCTTTCGCTAGACCAGGGGTAGGCAACTTGGCTGGCTCAGGAATTCTGGGAGTTGAAGTCCACGAGACATAAAAGAACCAAAGTTGCCTACCCCTGCACTAGACTAAAAAAGCATGAAGGAAATTTGGATAGATTGTATTACTATCCTCTCTGTCCATCCTCTTTTTAATACTATTCCCAGTACTACAAGAATATTGTCTTTTCTATACTGCAGACAGGAATTAGTGGCAACTAATGTAGACAACCCATGAGTCACACATGGCCCTCCGCAGGCTTTTGGGTGAACTGCAGAGCTCTCTTCTACAGTTCATCCTCAACTTACAGCCACAATGGGTCCAAAGTTTTGATTGTAAGTCACTGATGGACCATGTCACTGGACTCAATTTTACAACAATTGTGTCTACAATTGTTAAGTGAGTCATCAAGAGAATCACATAGTTATTAAGTGAAGAAATGTTAAACAAATCCAGCATATCCAATGGAGGTTTTTGGCCAAATTGCACACTGCAGCTGGTCATAAGTGCAAGCCAGTTGCCAAAAGCCCAAAATGTGATCACATGATTTCAAAGATCAATAATAGCTTTTTTGAAGTCTGTTGTAACTTCAAACTGTCATAAGGAACCAGTCCTAAATTGAGAATACTTATACATTTATTAAGTTTCTGTGCCATCCATCTCTGGGTGGCTCAGTTTGAAATCTAATTTTCTGACAAACAACAGTGGGTTAATTTCTACAGACAGCTTCTGGAATTGGACAAGACCCCACGTTAACAAAAGCTCATGGTCCCCTAACCAAGATCTGCTATATTTGTCCCTTCCCCTGCATTTAGTCTATGAGACTCCGTCTCTCACCTGTATCTCCATAACAGTATTTTCTGGGATAGAGAAGACCTCAAGAGAAAGGAATAATGGGGAAAAAAGTCTTGTCACATCTAAATGCAGAACTATTATTTTAAGCATGAGAAGAAGCATTTTCACACTGCACTAAAACTTGAAAGAGCTTCCTTTAACATGGCACAATAAAGACCAAAGAGCAGCAACATTATCACCCCCAAAACAGCCAAGTGCTTTATCTGAGAAATGAACTATATAAAATGAAGATTTGATTAGGTTGTCTAAGAGGCTCTTCATTTTGCTAAGAAAAAAGTTAAGTCACCGTGTGTGTGTGTGTGTGTGTGTGTGTGTGTGTATGTGTGTGTGTGTGTACGTAGAGAGAGAGAGATTCTGTTTTTAAAATGTCTCACATTTTAAAATATTTCAACACATTAAAAATCATAATATGATTTAGGTACTATAAAAAAAATCCTGAAATTTAGAGTAGCAAATGCCATTTCTTTTATCTTTTTTTTAAGTATTGAAAGAAAAGAGTAGAAAGGCAGCTTTTCTTTTTAATAATGACAAGCCCCCAAAATTACAACATATTGTATCTAAAATTAGGTAAATACATCATGCCAGCTTCAGATGTATTGATTCTTTTAAGGCCCTGTCTGAACAAAAGCTGCTTTCTTTTAAATGGAGCCAACTCAGTGAGTAAAGCAATTAAACACTGCAAACTGTTGAATGTAACAACCCAGAACACATTCAAAAATGACTTTTTCTCATTACTGCTAGCTCTCACAAATTCTGATACTAGTGAAATATGCTTGTTTCAGACCTTGCAAGTTTATTAGATTTTTTATTTTAATACTTCATTAGGAACTGTCTACACAAAAACCAGCTCTTTCCGGTAAGCTGCCCTAACACCCACTATTCTTTTTAGAGAAAGAAATCAACAAGTATTGCACCATCACTTATACTTCAAGATAAGGATAAATAAATATCAGATTGATCAACCTTAAGATGATGCATACAGCAATCTATTCTTCTACAAACACCAAAAATGTAGTCAGTAATACAGTATATGTTTTAAGGAGAAAGACACCCAGATAATACTGGGAAAGACCACTATGTAAAACCCAGGGGAGCCAATGGCTAGTATTATAAAGTATACTGAAGTGGCTGAATCAGTAATCCAACATGGGACAAAGAAGCTTCTCATGGTTTGATTACTGAACCAGGCATACACTTAGATAACAATAGATTTCAAACAGTTGAAGGGAATTCATCAATAGACTTCAAATAGTTGAAGGGTATTCTTCAATAAAGAATATGTGTGAACAGTAAAGAAAATGATAGGTAATCCCAAACAGCAAACACATACTTTATTTTAATAAGATGAGATATGAATAAGCCTTTAGCCCTTCTTCTTCTTCTTCTTCTTCTCCTTCTCCTTCTTTCTTCTTCTTCTCCTCCTCCTCCTTCTTCTTGTTCCTCCTCCTCTTCCTCCTTCATCATCATCATCATCATCATCCTATCCACTGTCTATCCATTGCAGAATGAAGGCCTCTTCTGCATGTTTCTAACCAATACCCATGGATAGTCCATTAGCCCATGTATAATCTCTTTAGTACAAACACAATAAAAAGAGAAGCCCGCCATTAAACAATATTTACAATTTTGTCCATACTGAAAAGCTATTGTGATTATTGTAAGGAAGCAAAGCAATATAAAGTAAATTCAAATCATGGTTTAATATGATTGACTTGCTGTAAAAAGAACAACTATAGTTTCCTGACTGAGGCATAAAAGCAAACCAAGCTTAGGAATCTCCTGATTTCTTAGCATATTCCTTTGGAGGGAAAATGGATATCTTATAGTCAAAGGCAACTTGGTAAAACCATCACAAAGCTTATTCCCCCCCCCTTTTTTTTTTTTTAAATTGACTGATACATGGGGATTTTTCTGAAGGGGAATAAGTTCTTTAAGGCTGTTTTAAGTGAATTCGGGGAACAAAGGTGTCATGCTAATTAATTCTTATGTTTCATTAATCATTGTAAAAATGGAATATGGTAGCTCCACTCCACAATTATCCTAAATTCAGAAAGGAACAGACTAAATGTATGGGCAAAAGGGCCTGCTTACTGAACAAAGGTAAAACTGAAAATATTATGGCATGTCTGCTCTTGGACCATTATATAAATTAGCAACAACACTCAAGTAATGGACAATTTCCTCTTCTCCCCTGGCAATAATAGTTCACTAAAAAACAAACAAAAACCTCTACATTTCCGATAAATTTATACTTCAGACATAATATTTTGTATTAATGCAGAGAGCTTTGACATTTGTCCAGTTAAGATTTACTTGCCTTTCTCAAGATGCTTCAAAGTAAATTTCTATAAATAATATGCAATTTAGTCTACCATCAAAATTATAGCTCAGTGCACTCCTTTCACCTTCTCAGTAGGATTCTGGGTAGACATCGAGAAGGTTGTGCTATGTGTAGTACTATTTCTCGCAACACTTGATTCCAAACTGATAGGTTCAAAACACAGATTGACCAAGAACTTTATCATTTATTTCACATTAATCAGGTTTAACCCTAAAAACATCAAGGCCCACTATAGCATTTGGTTTCTTGGAGATGACAAGAAATATATAATATTTTCATTGAGTTCTAAAAAGATTGCAAGGAAATTGGCAGACTAGAGCATTCATGGCATAGCAGTGAAATGAGTGAAATGGAAACACTATTTAATTTACAACTAATTTGCCTTAACTGGGCTACTTTATTGCAAGCCGTGCTATCAACTAGATTGGAAATATCTTTACAGTGGGTAATCATCACATGCCAATCATTTGCTCACAGAAACAAATGTTCTAGAAATTAGGGTTTTAGAAATGATTCTGAAGAAGCAGGCTTCATGTGAGCACAAAGTTGTTCATGAAAGCAGCCACACCACTTTTTCAGGCTTCTACAAAAATCTGAATAAAGTTGTTGCTGCCTTCAGTGTTGACCATGGACACTGTCTGAATAAGTCCTTATGATTAATTATAATTATTCAACTCCTTAAAACTGCTGCATCTTTCTTCAGATTCCCAAGGAAATTTAATTCTTCCAAATCATATGAAAACCCATTGGAAATTACATTCAACAAGCAATAGGCAAGTTTATGAAAAACACTGAACAATTCTAGGCAAGAAAGAGCAATAGTTACCCTCTTACCAGATGGCTCCCTATGTCCCTTTCTTATTCTGTTCTTTTTTACAGACTTTTGGTGACATAATTCAATAAGTATTTTATAACTAGTAATGAGAATGCTGATGATGATCAATGACTATTAAAGTGGGAGGAGGAAAAATGCTCTTCTGAAAAAGGGGCATCCTTAAGGTACACATCTGACATTTCCAGTATAGCAAAGAGGAAACTTGCATTGTACCTACATTAGACACTAATTAATTGTTGGGGAAAAAAGCAACAAACCGAGCAAAGTTTTGCTAGAAATGTATGTGTTGGGGATCTCTCCTAAGCAGCACATGCCCCTTATATTTTAAATTAACTTATTACTCAGGAATTCTGTTCATTTTATTAAACTGAAACCCCTGAGTTCCAAAAGTGAAATGTATAATTTTCCATTGATGTGTAGAAAGCAAGTATACACTCACCAAGCTTCAGGCAGCAAAAAAGAATATTCATGTGGGGAGGTAGTTTCAGGAAAATTGGAGAGAACTGGCAGCCGATATGGAAGCAGAACTGATCCATGATAGGTAAATAAAATCTCCAAGCCTCTTACGTTACTTTCCTAGACAAAGAGTTCTGTTTTAATATTCAGGAAAAATTATACATTCTGCTTTAAAAAAAACTGAACACAAAATTAATGGGAAGTCATGTAATTTTCTTCTTTGAAAAATATAAGTAAATCTCTAGAAATATTTACTTACAGGAGGAATTTTTTTTTTGAATTATTTGTAAATTGGGATTAAGGGTGCTGTTCCACATTTTTTGAGAATAAAAGACAGTTGAAAACTAAGAAACAATGACACGAAGGCAAATGACTGCAGAAAATACTGCTGAGATGCAGGAGTAGTCTTGAAGATTAACTGGTGCTTGGGAATGGCTATTTACCCAGTAAATGTTTACCCTTTTTGTTACAGTTAAATAATTATCCACTAGTTTCCCTATAGTTAAATAGCTTTTTTCCCCAGCTTCTTCTGATTCGATTTTCATTCTGTTCTTTTTCTTGTTTTCCTCCCCCCCCCCCGGTCCTCCTGGAAAAAGGGAAAGGATTTATGTATTTCCATGTGTGAAAGTGAGGTATATATGACACAAAACATGGGTAAGAACTAATATGAAATGAAATTAATTTTATTAACAGAGTAGGCTTTTTATAAGCACTTCAAGTGGTAGTACGAAATTCATTTTGTGTGTGTGTTTACATAAATATTTGTTTACTGGCTTTTTAGCCCTGATGATGTTGGGAGTCCCCAACGAAAGCTCGGCGGTTTTTAGTAAAGTATATTTTTATACCTAAACTCTGCTGGTGATCGTATTTTATTTATCATATATATATCTTGGCGTATTCGGGTCTTTTCCCGTGTAAGATTGAGAGTATCTTGGCGACGTTTCAACGAGGTCCCACTCATCATCTTCAGGCTGGGGTCTTCGGCTTCGTGCTTGTGTGAGTAAAGTGTGATCAGAGCTACCATCTCTCTATAAATACTGGTGTGTGTGTGTGTGTGTGTGTGTGTGTGGAGTGCTGGTTTTGTTGCTGTAAGTGGATTGGTTGGCTGTGTTGTCACACGCTAAAGCTCAGGATGTTACAACACAGCCAACCACCCAGGATGTTGCAACACAGAACTCAGGATATCACTACACCAGATCTCAGGATGTTATCACACAGTCCATTACCCAGGTCGTTACAACACAAAAGACTAATGGGCACACAGCACCTCAACTACTCAGGATGTTACAAAAATGCCGAACAATCAGCAAACAATAACTCCAACACAGCCAACCAATCCACTCACAGCAACAAAGCCAGCACTCCACACACACACACCAGTATTTATAGAGAGACGGCAGCTCCGATCACACTTTGCTCGCACAAGCATGAAACCGAAGACCCCAGCCTGAAGATGACGAGTGGGACCTCGTTGAAACGTCGCCAAGATACTCTCAATCTTACATGGGAAAAGACCCGAATACGCCAAGACCTGCGTACCTGTACTCGTGAAAATCTATGAAAAGAAATATAAACACACACACACACATCATACATACACATACATACATACATACATATACCAGATTCTGCCTTTTTTGAAATGTGGCTTCTGGTGGGTATATGTGCATGCACAAATACACATTAACATATTCATTTGTCACACACAAACATTTACTTAGGAGTTGTTTCAGAGTAGGTTTCAGACAGAGTTATTCAAAGTGCACTGAAGATGTCCCCCCGAATAGAGACGAAACGTTTGCAGCCAAATTGCCAAGCTCGGAGACCAAACAAACAGCCCAGAGTTATCAATTCTAGCAGAAAAGATAGGTACTGCAAGATTTCCTTGTCTGTATTCTTGTTGGGGGAGAATCTATTTATCCTTAGCGGGAGATGTCTTCCTTTCAGGTAAGTATCATACTGCATGTTAAGAATCCATTGATTATGATCAATAAACCGAGAGTAATCTGTCAGTATTCTTTTCATCAGCCAGCAGCATGTCATTAATATTTAGATAGAAAAAACAGTGCCCCCCCCCCAGAAGGGGAAGTCTATTATCACTAAAAAGAGACCTCACATATTATCTCCCAACAGAAAGTGACTGAGGGACAGTTTCCTCCATAGTATGGGATAAAGCCATGGGGAGAAAGGAACAAAAGAACCCTTTACTCCCGTATCAAATGAAGATAACACATCAATTACTGTGTGCCAAATAGAAATCGTATTTCAAACTGACTCCACAGGTACTGTACAACCATACTTTGCTTGAGAATAAGCTGCTAGCACTCAACATGGTTTACTTCCAAATAGACCTGAGAACCGCTGTGCTGCATTTTATGCTGGCGCCATTAAATACCAATTAAAACACTTCTAATCTATAGGAAAACCTTCTTAGTACAAGTTAAAGGAGGGTATACCCGAGCATATGTTCTTGCAGAAAGCACAATATTTTGACTGCGGAACTTCCTGAAAAATTCTGCATCATAATTTTGCTCAGCAGCATGTGGTCCTCCAAGGATTTCCTAAAGGAAAAAAAAAGCATTATTTAAGTAAAGATATTAGTTCTTAGTCTACATGTGGTTTAAGTGATGTGACATTGCTGTTTTGAGTGCATTACAGAGAGGTGACAGCTTTGTATATTTTCATTCCAGCTTTTTTTTTTTTACAAAATTACATTAAAAGCACAAACAAATTGAAAATACTTGATAATAATAATGATGATGATAAAGTTGGAAGGGACCTTGGAGGTCATCTAGTCCAACCCCCTGCTCAGGCAGGAAACCCTATACCATTTCGGACAAATGGCTGTCCAGTTTCTTCTTAAAAACTTCCAGTGCTGGAGCATTCACCGCTTCTGGAGGCAAGTTGTTCCACTTGTTAATTGTTCTAACTGTCAGGAAGTTTCTCCTTAGTTCTAGGTTGCTTCTCTCTTTGGTTAGTTTCCACCCGTTGCTTCTTGTCCTGCCTTCAGGTGCTTTGGGAAATAGCTTGACTCCCTCTTCTTTGTGGAAGCCCCTGAGATATTGGAACACAGCTATCATGTCCCCTCTCGTCCTTCTCTTCATTAAACTAGACATACCCAATTCCAGCAACCGTTCCTTATATGTTTTAGCCTCCAGTCCCCTAATCATCTTTGCTGCTCTTCTCTGTACTCTTTCTAGAGTCTCAACATCTTTTTTACATCGTGATGACCAAAATTGGATGCAGTATTCCAATATGGCCTTACCAAGGCATTGTAGAGTGGTATTAATACTTCACGTGATCTTGATTCTATCCCTGTTAATGCAGCCTAGCACTGTGTTGGCTTTTTTGGCAGCTGCAGCATACTGCTGGCTCATATTTAAATGATTGTCTACTAGGATTCCAAGATCCCTCTCATAATTACTACTATTGAGCAAGGTACCCCCTATACTATACCTGTGCATTTGGTTTTTCTTGCCTACATGTAGAATCTTGAACTTAAAAAATCTGATTTGTTGGAGAAAGAAGCCGATAAAAAGAAGAAATCTGTTAAAATACAAATTTTAGCATCCATGTAGCATTCCTAATGTAAAAATGTTGTTGCAATACAGTCTTGATGTTCATTATTGTGATAACTAAAATCCAAATAACAGATTGAAAATATAAAAAAGATCAGATGAACCTTTTGTACCTTTGTACAGGTAGTCCTCGATTTACATCCATAACTGAGCCCAAAATTTCTGTTGCTAAGCGAGACAACTTAGCAACAGAAATTTTGCCCCATTTTATGATATTTCTTGCCACAGTTGTTAAGTGAATCATCACACGGTTAGTAGTGACATGGTTGTGAAGTGAACCTGGCTTCCACAGTGACTTTGCTTGTCAGAAGGTCGCAAAAATGACATGACCCCGAAACACCAAGAGCCGAGGTGGCGCAGCAGTTAGAGTGCAGTACTGCAGGCCACTTTAGCTGACTGTGTTCAGCAGGTCAGCGGTTCAAATCTTACCGGCTCAAGGTTGACTCAGCCTTCCATCCTTCCAGAGTAGGTAAAATGAGGACCCAGATTGTTGGGGGCAATGTAAAATATATATACATTGCTTACTGGTCTACACCGCTTAGAGAGTGCTTACACTTAAAGCCGTATATAAGTCTCATAAATAAATAAATAAATAAATAAATAAATAAATAAATAAATAAATAAATAAACACTGCAGCTGTCAAAAATACGAGTCAATTGCCAAACGTCTAAATTTTGATGATGTGACCACGGGGATGCTGCAATGGTCATAAGGGTGTAAAACAGTCATAAGTCACTTTTTTCAGTACCACTGTAATTTTGAATGGTCACTAAATGAACTGTTGTAATTGAGGACTACCTATATAATGAGGTGCAGGTCAACCAATACAACCCACAGTTTAAATTTGATGTACCTCATATGTTGCAAGTCGATCCAAAAAGGCTAGCAGTTTCAATCTGCAGCGACATAATTCTTTCTGTTCCAGAGTTAATCTGTTTATTAATAAATGGTGGAGAGAGTTTTGTATGTTTTCAAAGACTGGTAAGAAAAAAAATAAACCAAATAAAATCATACATATTGACATCCAGTTTTAAGCAAGAAATATATCTTTTAAAAAGTAATTTCAATCTAGTTTTAAATATTTCTAGCTACATTATTTGATCACCTGGATGTGCCAAATGATACAGCTGGAATCCCACTAAATGTCTTATATTACATAGTGATGGCCCTTATCCAAAATGCCATGCATAATTTAGGATTTGCATCTAAATATTTTTTTTTCTTTTGAAGAAATTTACCTACATTGCAGGTAGGTAAGCATTATATACACTCAGATCTCATCTGAATGAATACTCTAGAGCAGGGGTGTCAAACTGTCGGCCCACGGGCCGGATGCGTCATGCAGAAGCCGCACCCACCCCAGCTCTGGCAAGGGGGAAAAAGTCACAATGCGTCAAGACACGTCACGTGACATGGTGAGTTTGACATGGTTCTCAACCTTTTTAATGCCGCGACCCCCAACCGGTCGTAAGTCGAGGACTACTCAACTGGTGCAGCACCGTTTGCAGAATGGGACTTTTGGCAGGCTCAGCAGGGCAGAGACAGCCTGGACAATTCCTAGTGGCTTTTGAAAGCCAATAGAAGTAGACTCTATTCAAGAGAGTCTATTCTATTGGCTTGCAAAAGCCAATAGAATAAAAGGGAGTAGCACAGCTAAGGAAAAGGGGGAAAAAATGGCGGACTGTGTTGTTTGGCGACCCCCATGAAATGGTCGTTCGACCCCAAATGGGGTCCCAACCCACAGGTTGAGAACCACTGCTCTAGAGGAACCATTCACATGCTGGATAAGAACTCAGGCAGTTGAAGTATAACACAACTTGAGAATCTCCAGTAGAGAAAGGCTATTTTAAAGCAATCAATTGTGCATTAGGCAACTAAAAACGATTAGGTGTTTGAGTTGTGTAACTGTTTCCACATTTGAAGCCTCAATAGGAAATTCAATAAATTGGACTATTCAAAGAATACTGTTTGGTCATATACATTATTTATTACTCCCATTGGAATCAGAATGTATTTAACTCTTCATAAGCATGCATTGAACATTACAAAAAGCAAGAAGAGACTGAACTTAGTAAATTCATTTACTTTGAGAAGTTTACTGATTTTAGAAGTTCTTGACGCTTTATGGCTTCCTGCTCCTTTCTATACTCTGCTTCTTCCTCTGGTGTTAAAAATTCTTCATAAAGTAGTTCATCAATGTCTACGTCACCTGGTAAGATAAATCTGGGGGAATAACAATAATGAAAGAATAAAAAAAATGATTATTTAATCAATAGGCAGATTTTTGTTCAATTTACAGCTTTTGAACTTTTAGATTACAATATATTTTTTTTAAAAAAAATTGAAGTGTTTTTGCCCTTTTCAGCAGATGAAACCTTTTGCTGTTATCTATTAAATGAAACAACATAAATATTTCAATATAATGGCTTTATGCTGTTACAATAAAATATCAGTGAAAACTTTATTAAAAAAATATTGCTATTTGTACTTTTTTATTTCAATAAAGTAGAGTTGGGTGTGTATCACTTACTAAGGCTATGTTTTTAAAATGTCCAGATATACTTAGATGTAAAATCAAACTTAAAAGAAGTGCTTATAAAAACTGCAGACAGCAATATGGTTCTTTGAAAAACAACTAATAGACTGGCTAAAAACTTTACTTTGCATTTTGTGAAAATGTTGTCAACAAATGTTTAACAGAACAATTGGAGCTGAAGTGACAGGACTGTCATTTGCAGCTGAACATAATGTGTTTTATTTACACCATTTTTAGATCACTTGATGAATAAAACTGTCCCTAGTGGAATTTGAGGACTGACTTATAGTCCAGGGACTACAAGTGGAAAAGGCATCATATTTTTGGCACTTTCAAACAGAAAACAGTGCACTCATGAAGTTTGATATAGTAGTTAAGGCACCAGGCTAGAAAATGGGAGATCCTGAGTTCAAGTTTCGTCTTATCCATGAAAGTCAGCTGGGTGACTTTGGACTGGTCACTTTCTTTCAGCCCAACCACTTCACAGGTTTGTTGTTGTGGGAAAAAAAAAAAGGAGGAAGGTGTGTTGGATATGTTCACCACCTTATTTGTAAAAATAATTTAATTTATTTGCCACTCACCTCATGATTCAGGCAACTCTGAGTGGCTTACATGAAGATAAAACAAATATTTCACGATTATAAGTATAAACACGGACTAAGATTACAAGATTACAAAAATTAACCTGCCACCTCCAGCCAACAGCTGCTTCTTCAGGAACCCATGCTAGCTGGCACAGCCAGGGTTTAAGGTGGGATATGCATAAATAAATAAATAAATAAATAAATAAATAAATAGCTTCTCTAAAGTCACGAGTACATTTGAGTGCCTGCTTCCTACTTAGCAGAACAGAGTCAAACTTATACCAAGATACTAGGAAAGAGGATTGCAGGCATGAAAGATTCCAAGGGCATTATTGCTATTGTGAATAAAAGTTTTCTATATTCAATTGCCATTTATTGAAATGAGAACTGTATTAATTTAAGGTTGGCAAAAGAGAATATTATTGGAAGAAGAGAAAATTAAGTAAAGCTATTACGTGGACTATAGAATTATAGAAATTAATTATTATTGATTGTTTTTAAAATACTAACCCAGACAACACGCTGTTTACCAAATATTAAGGTCTATGCTAAAAATCAATAAAATATATTTAAAAAAAAAAAGTTTTCTTGCATGGGTCTAATTCATCTTCCAATTAAATTTTATTCTTTTGAAAATTGTTTTGCAAGGAGCCAGGTTCATGCATTCAATTTTTCTGTTAAGACTGTGGTATTCAAAAGGAACCAGAGGTTACGCATCCATCACAAATTATTTTTTAAGCATGGGCTATGACAGTGATGGCAAACCTTTTAGAGAGCAAGTGCCCAAACTGCAACCCGAAACCCACTTATTTATCACCAAGCGCCAGGTGGGCGTGGCCCACTGGGTGTGCGTAGCTATGGTGGGTATGGCCAAGGTGGGCGTGGTCACCTCGATGTTGCTCATGGGCAGGGACTCCTGTGGAGGCCAGACAGGGTTGGGGGAGATCCAGGGGGTCTCTGGTGGGTGGGACAGTGGGCAGGAGGCTCGTCCTGCAGGGTGAGGGGAGGCGAGGTAGGGTGAGGGATGCCATTGTCGCAGGGCAAGGCGATGCAGGGGCCAGGGTGGCTGCTTCCTGACACCATTGGCCCCTGTACACAGAGGCCAGCGAGCACATGGGGGCTGACAGTGCCCCTTGACCGGTACACTTTAGGGCTCTGCAGCCCGCTGCCAGCAGTTCAGAGAAGCCACCTCTGAGCTCGACGGCCAGCCGACAGCTGAGGAGGCAATGCAGTGGGTCATGCCCGGGAAAAGGAGAGCATGTGAGGCCAGGAGGGATAGGACAGGGGGGAGGGAAACCAGCCCTGCTAGGATGCATCCGGCCATGTGGGACCTCAGCGAGTTAGCAGGCGGATGCTTGAAGAGGGATGGTTGTCATCTCTGGGGCATAGCGCGCATGCCCACAGAGAGGGTTCTGTGGCACGCGTGCCATAGGTTCGTCACCACTGGGCTATGAAATTCTCTTAATATAGACCGCAAAAGAAGACAGTGGAATCAATAAACCATTCTAACAAACCTGCCACCGTCTTCTCTTCTCCCTGTAGCTATAAGAGCCTCCAAGTCTGTCCCCTTTAAACCATACTGCAGCAATTCTTTAGCAGCATCCACATTTTCAGGAACTCTTTCCAGGCATTCATGAAGTACCCAAGAACGCTTCTTAATTTTGCTCTGCCCCACAAAAAAATAACAGGGAAAAAAACTACATTAACTTTTTTTTTTAGAACATTCTGATAATAAAGTAAGGAAGTGAAGTTTTGAATGCTTCACTATATCAAGTTAATCCATGTATCCATCTAGGACTATATCATCTTGTGCAGCCTCTCCAACAAATATTCTCTTCAATATTTCAGGCAAGAATCTTATACCTTTTCAGCATGGAAAAGCACTTTATCATAAATGTTGCACAAAATACTATTCCCATCTAGCACATGAATTGGAAATCAAAGCCAGTAGGCTACATTCAATCCATAAGCAGGCTTTAGGATTCTTCATTAACTGATCCAGATAGACTCAGGACACATGACAGAGAATATTGATCTGCTTGGCCAAAAAAAAAAATAACAATCTCTAATATATTGCCAAAGATTGTGATCAAAATATATCTTCATCAAGCACAAAGGCCTTTCTGTTTGTGCAAGAAAGCTCGGTTAAACACATTTAATTTTTCAATATAACTCCTCCTTATAGCACTGCAGAAAATCTCTTTAATCCTTAGGAATAGCTTTTGGAGTATACAATAAGAGTGAAAAGGGAGGTAACCCTACTTACTGTTAGTCCTCAACTTATAACCACAATCCAAAATTTCTGTTGTTAAACAAGACATTTGTTAATTGAATTTTGTCTCATTTTACGACCTTTCTTGCCACTGTTGTTAAGTGAATCATTGCAGTTGTTAGTAACAAGTGCTGTTAAGTGAAGCAGGCTTTCCCCATTGACTTTGCTTGTGAGAAGATCAGAAAAGGAGATCATGTGCAACCATCATAAATATGAGTCAGTTGCCAACTGTCTGAATTATGATCACCTGCCATGGGGATGCTGCAACAGTGGTAAGAGTGAAAAACGGTCATAAATTACTTTTTTCCAGTGCTGTTGTAACTGTCAACAGTCACTAAATGAACTGTTGTAAATTGAGGACTACCCGTAACTTATTTACATGCTTATTAAATTTATTTGCAAAGTTCTATGTCAGGGGTAGGCAACCTTGCCTCTTTTATGAGTCGTGGACTTCAACTCCCAGAATTCCTGAGCATGGCTGGCTCAGGAATTCTGGGAGGTGAAGTCCACGAGTCATAAAAGAGCCAAGGTTGCCTACCCCTGCTCTATGTAGATACAGCATCTGGAAAGATCGATATACATACTGTTTTTCCATAATAAAACCTACCAAATAATCTTGAATAGAAGCCACACTAACAGCAGATTTCCTCCATTGCCTCTGATAAACAAGGTCAGAATCAAGTTCATATGTCTGAGCTAGGGACAAAGCTTCCCCATATTCTTCATTATCAATCTAAAAAAAACAAACATATAGAAATCAAAGCAGTTCACCTGGGCTCCATTGCAAGAGTCAGCTTCTCTGATGCAAAACATTTTATTATTTTAACATTTAACACTTATTTTTATTCCGAGACTCAGTAAACATATGTACTAATCACATATAATCCTCTCTGAGATAGTTCTTAGCCAAAAGCAATTGGTCAATGTGTAGTGTGAAAGTGGACAACCGGAGAACTTTTCTATTCGTGCTGAACGCCTAGCAGTCTTACACTAACGGTGTAAGTTTGTAATTCAGTTAACGCAATCAACAGAAGGAATTTGCAAACAGTACATAATGCTAGGTACCCGACATTCAATTTTATACACCAATCACATGGCAACCGCTATGCCACCAGAGTGAGAATTTTTCCTCAGGTACTGCAAATTTTAAATGCTAAGCAAGGAAATGAAATCTCCTCATGGCAGACATTTTGTGCTGAGGAAAGGCATTAAGCATTTATTAAGTGGAAAAAATTATGGAAAAAGCCCACTTCCACCCGTCTTCTCATAAGAAAACCAAACAGCCACCACTTTTTTTGTGGAATGTGAAAACAAATGAATAGACTTCTCCACGGTTCCTATCCTAACACATTACCTAGAATGCAAATCTAACAAAATTAGCCTAACAAAATCTAATGAAAATAGTGACTGGTAAATTGCATCAGGCTAGAAACCAGGAAATTGTGAGTTCTAGTCCAGCCTTGGGCATGAAAGTCAATCGGGTGACCTTGGGCCAATCACATTCTCTGAGCCCAACTCACCTCAAAGGGTTGTGGGGGAAATAGGAGGAGAAAGGTGTGTTTGGATATGTTGGCCACCTTGAGTTATTTGTAAAAATAACAAAGGCAGGATATAAGTAAACAAATAAACTCAAAACTTACCGTATATTCCGGCGTATAGGGCGACCCGGCGTATAAGACGACCCCCGAGTTCGACGCCGGGTCGCAAGACGATCACGCCAAGTCGCAAGATGATCGATGCCGAGTCGCATATAAGACGACTTTCTAGGCATGCGACTTGGCATCGATTGTCTTATACGCCGGAAACTACGTTATTTCCGGCGTATAAGACGACTTTCTAGGCATGCGACTCGGCATCGATTGTCTTATACGCCGGAAATAACGTTATTTCCGGCGTATAAGATCATTGATGCCGAGTCGCATGCCTAGAAAGTCGTCTTATACGCCAGAAACTACCTTATTTCCGGCGTATAAGACGACTCGGCGTATAAGACGACCCCCGAGTTCGGAGGCTGTTTCATCGCTCTCAAAAGTCGTCTTATACGCCGGAATATACGGTAACCATCTAAAACATACAAATAATTTCAGGTCCTACACTATTTTAAGGATATATTTTTTTTAAAATCACTCTTACTTGGAGAAGTGCTTACCTTCCTTTGGTATAATTCCTCAGGGGTTGTGGATCTCAGATTCACAAGTCGGTAATTCTTTATAATTGTGCGAGGACGCTTCCTTGGAGGAGCAAAACGTTCCATTTCGGTTACAAAATAAAGTCCTTGCTTAAGGTAACCAAAATAGCGGGCCTTTGCAGACAATTCATCATCTGAATCCGAGTCGTCTTCTCCTTCGTCTTCATCACCAGGCCTGTTCTCTGAGCGCAATCTCTTTGGAGCAAACTTCACCTCACACTGCAAAGAAAGCCATTCTTACTAAACAGCACAATGTATCACACTTTTAAGTCTGTCAGGCTTCAGCACCCAAAGAGGCAATAAGTTACCACAAAGCTGCTGGAAGCAAAGAGAAGCAAGCAAACAAAAGATCAGTGGAAAATGATTTCCCTCTCAAGCACCCAGGTTATTACGCTGGGTGGGACATTAGCATCACTTTCACCCTGTAAAGATATGGTACATCCCATTGGATTAGCATTTGAATTCTGCATGATTTTTTTTCTAACAAATTAAATGTTGATATTAAACTGGAGATGAAGGTTTTGATGGACTGGTGCAATAAAAATAACCTGGTTTTGAATGTTAATAAAACAAAGGAGATCATTGTTGATTTTAGAAAGAGCCGGCATAGTCATTCTCCACTTTGTGTTAAGGCTGCAGCTGTGGAGGTGGTCAATTGTATTAAGTACCTGGGAGTGCAGATAACTAACAATCTGACTTGGTCTCTTGATACATTATCTTTAGTGAAGCGTGCAAACCAGTGTCTGCATTTCCTGAGTTGGATGAAAAGAGCACATCTTTCTCCTTCTGTCCTGACCACTTTTTACAGAGGCCCGATTGAGAGCGTTTTAACAAACCATCACTCTTTGGTTTGGTGGTAGCAGAGCCTCAGATAGAAGGTCCATACAGAGAGTGGTAAGGACAGCTGAGATTATAAGAAGCTCGCTTCCCGTTATTCAGCTTATAAGTGCTTTGTGCTTAGCATCGTTAGAGACCCCCCACACACCCACTTCACAATCTGTTTCTGTTGCTCCCCTCTGGGAGGAGGTTTCAAAGTATTTCTAGCAGGACTACTAGATTCTGTAACAGCTTTGTTATGCCCTCCATCTTGTAAATTCGCAGGATTCTTTTTTTTTTTTGCCATGTATATGTACACATTCGAACTAGATGTGATGTTTCTCTGTGTCATATGTGTGTGTGTACGCAGATATATGCCTAATGGTATTTTTTGACAGCTGAATGCTACAAAATTTTATTTGAATGTATGCTGATTAGTGGAGATTTAAAGGGAGGATAAAGATTCTATTCTATTCTATTCTATTCTATTCTATTCTTTCTATTCTACTTTGTCACTATGCAGCATACTATTGCATTAGCAATTGTGCCTACTGAATATTAAAAATTATTTTGAAATGCAAAGCTATATGGTTCTACCTGTGATCATGGCTATTAACTACTTTACTTCTAGAGAAATAAAAAAGTAAAGTAATTAGAACTACCCAGCACTGCACTGTAAATACACACAGATGTGCATGTATATACACACATATGGAGAGCACTAAAAATAATTAGCCAACACCTGGTTAAATCTAAAGCTGAAGTAAATGAAAGCAGATTTGGACTAATACAGGTACCATATCCATCTCTAAAAAACCAGGCCCCAAAATTCATACAAACAGCCATGAGGATCTTGCACAAAGACAAGTGAAAAACTCCAAAGAAGATTTACCAGGGTTATCGATAAGACTATTGAATATAGGCAGCATAAAATGATGACATTTAATCAAAAGGGAACTCTAGTAGAGAGACTACCACAAGAATGAACATAAAGAGTTTAACAGTTCTATTTACCACCTACTTAGACAAGTTTTATCATAAAGTTGTAATTATGATAAATATCTCATTAGATGGGTGCTTATTATTAGTATCTTTGTGTGCAAGTACATTTCCTTATGATTATTTGAAGAAAACATTGTAATTTTATGGCCGCAGCTTGCAAGATATGTCAGGGGTTTTTTTTTAAATGGAAGGTACTCATTAAAAAATAAGTCTTAAAATATTCATGGTTAATAAGGACAGTAATTACTGTTGACTTTGGATTTAACCTCCCTATTAAAAATGAGCATGACTGCATTTCTGTACATTCTTGAGTATTACAGAGATGATTTCCTTCCTTTACCTGAGTTTTAGTCTTCATTTTCTCTCTAAAAAGTGCCAAATGATCCATGACATTTGAAGATTAGTCCATTGTGTTCACAAACAGGTAAAACAATTCAACCAAAACCAAATTAGCTACCTTACTTAGGAGCTGGAGAAGATTTAGCCCCAGAAACCAAAGTCCCAGATTTATTTGGTACTATCTATCTACTACCTTGCCCTGGTGGTGTATTGGTTAGAATGCAGTACTGCAGGCTACTTCTACTCACTCCTGGCTGCCAGTTTGGCAGTTCGAGTCTCACCAGTTCAGGGTTGACTTAGGCTTCCATCCTTCCGAGGTCCATAAAATGAGGACCCAGATTGTTGGGGGCAATATGCTGACTCTGTACACCACTTAGAGAGGGCTATAAAGCACTGTGAAGTGGTATATAAGTCTAAGTGTAATTGCTATTGCTATTAAACTTCCAAATCTGGCTTTCTTTGACTTTTATTTACATTTAACACAACTTCTAAAATTACATCCAACCTTGGCACGTAAAAGCTAGACTCTTTTCATACCTGCTTTCTACCAAACATAGAATGTGTTTCAACTAAAATAGAAAATGCTTTGACCAATAGATATTCAAAAATGGAAATAATTGTTACTTCATTCCAATTATTCTAGGAGTATTCATCAGAGCACCTAACAATTCCTAATTTGAGATCTGCAATGAAGTGCATCTGAAGGATGCAAATTTCATCCCTTTAATATCATTTTCTTTTCTAGTTGCTTTACCTTTTCCCTCTATGCTTGATGAAGCATTCTACAACACTTAAAAGCCTGCATGTTACTGTTATTTATTAATTGATCTAATTAAGGTATTACCAAAATACAAAATGAATATTGTAATGAAAACCTCTCAGATCAAACCTCAAAACTGTATGCTATCATTTCATCCTGCAAGCACACACGAAGATTTAAAGCTTTTACTTTCATCTCCAATGATAACAATGCAAAATTATAACACTGGCTTATCTCAAAAGAACAGCAGCTAACATTAACTACATCTTAAGGCACGGGAAGAGAACATTTTAACCTTCTGCTGGTGGGCATGAGAGAGCAAGGGAGTATGCACATCACAGACTCCCTACGTGCAGAAGAAACTCTAGGATCTTTATGACAGGGAAACAAATACATTCTGTTTTATTCTAATAAAGGAAATATTTTTAAATTTCATTTTAAAAGGCATAAGAAGATTTTTGCAAGGTGATATGTCATATATGTACAATCAACAACCTCCTTCGGTTTTGCAAATTCTTCCTACCTCCAAACATAGAAATCCTCCATCATGAGCCGATGTGACCTGAGGAGAGCTTTCAAACCATTCACAGGATTTCCCCAACAGGTTTTTCAAGTTCTTCACTGATGACACTGTCAGAGCACCTGAACAGCGAGCCAAAATGACAGAATTCTTCCCCCACCAGTTTATATCTATCAATGGATAAAAAGATTCTTTGTCTAGAGGGTGAAAGAAGACAGAGAGAGAAAAAGAAATTTTAACTTTTCAAGGATTTAAACAGAACAATTACTTAATTGCTTAATTAAGCAATTCATTTACTTAATAAAACAGAGCATCATTTTAATAGCCAAATATCAACAAAGCACAGAGACCAACTTCTCCTCATTTTAATGAGGTATTTAAATTAAGCCTTGCATTAAATGCACTTTCCCTAAATAAGAAAATTTCCATAAGTAGCTTCCTTAAATAAAGAATATTCTCCAGTCCAACAATACTGGACAATTTTCAGTCAGGTTCCACCTTTCCCCTTTTAGGGAAGGTTGTAAAGAAGGTGCTAGAAGCTATGTATGAAGCTAAAAAGGCGTTTGAGGAAGCTGATTATATCTGGGCCTTTTCTAGTTCAGATTCAAGCCAGGTATAGCATTAGTTATGCTTGTGGATGCTCTCTACAAGACAATAGTGATGCATCTGTCTTTGTCCTCCTAGATCTCTCAGCAATCTTCAAAACCATCAATAGGCATCAGGGCAGGAAGAAAGGAAACTGTGTTTCAGTGGTTCTCCTCCTTTCTCCAGGGACGATTTCAATTGGCATTGGTGGAGCGGGGGGGGGGGGAGGGGGGGAGGTCAAGTCCTGGGGCCCTCTTATAAGAGGTACCTCAGGGCTCAAATCTCTCCCCACTTCTATTGAATATCTACATAAAACTACTGGATGAGGTCATTGCATTTTTAATTATTTTTTCATGTCTTGCAAGCTATCCGAAGTTATGTATTTAACATGGGTGACTATACAGTATACATTTTCTGAAATAGTAAATGTTAAAGAATCTTTTTAAAAGAATGAAGCTAAGTAGTAGGGAACATCTATTCATACAAAGCAGAATAGAATTTTTAAAAATGTTCAGAAACGTAGGTCATGCTGTCCCTCAGAGTAACAATGAGTAACATTTTTTTTATATAAATGGTAAATGGAATCAGCGGAAACTGTAATTACCATCGACAAGCTGAAATAATATGAGATAATATCATCCATGCTCTTTTCTGGACATTTATGAAAATTCACAATTACATTACTTCACACTGTTCCTTTTAAAATATTTAGGAAAATTGCCTAATTTTCTTTTGCTTAGCTGTAATATTTAAGACAATGTATATTTTAATTCAGGCACACACAATAGAAGTAAGGATGACTTATTACAGCTGGACCCGAATCCCAGAGATCTCTTAAAAAAGGACTGCAGTAATCCTGCACCATTTTTACCCACATCCACTTGCTTCAACCCTAACACTGCAACCAAAACAATTTGAAAACCATCAAAAGCACAATTTAATGGCAAATATTGGCAGTGAATTATCTGCAGCCATTCCTGTGGTTTAAAATATGCTTATTTGGGAGCAAATATAGAAAGAAGGGAATATCAAAATGGAAAAGAATGTAAGAAGATCCATTCTGAATCAGATGAAAAAGTTGATCTACTTCAGCAGAGGTAGTCAACCTTGGCTCTTTTATGACTCGTGGACTTCAACTCCCAAAATTCCTGAGCCAGCTGGCTCAGGAACTCTGGGAGTTGAAGTCCATGAGTCATAAAAGAGCCAAGGTTGACTACCCCTGTACTTCAGCATCCTTATTTATGCAGTGCTGTGCCTGTGAGTTCACAGAACACACATGAAGAAACAGATTTTTCCTACTGGGGATCCCCAGCAAGTGTGCTCAGAGACATGCCCTCCCTGAATCTGGTAATACATTACAGCTATTACAGAGCTCAAAAGTATGCAGGTAGAAAGTAATCGTAACATGTATCATTTAAATTACTGTAGAAAACAACATATTATGCCACAGTTTATATTCTGTAAATAGACTCATTAAAGGCATCGGTTTAAGAAAATCCCACTCTGTCAAACACAATATTAAGATTTGAATACCAACCTTTAATTTTCTTCCGCTTTTCCAGAGACAGTTTCCACTCCAGTTTGATTTCATCATATCCTGGCTAAAAGGAGAAGAATAAAAGTTTTCTTTCTAATTACGTATTTCAGGGTATCTCTCTCTTTCGAGAGTATTTCCTTGTACTAATGTAATTCTTAGGGGGAAGAAAGAAAAGTAAATATTTCGATAAATTCTACCGTACCACTGTTACATGAACGAAATGAAAGAACCTCAAAGCAATACATGACTGGATAAGATGGGAAAAGCCTCTATTGTAGACACATTCAAAAATTATATTAAACCCAGGCTTAACTTTAATCATGGTTAGTTGAAGACACTTGAATCCCACTGACTGATGGGATTCATCAAAGGTTGGTTCATTTTCCATTATCTTGTTTTCTTTGGCAAGATGACGACCAAAGCTGAGTCTTATATTTTCCCTTTGTTAACCCCTCCCCCCAAAAAGGTATTGTTCTCCCTGTCCCAATAAATGCTCCAGTCTCAATATTAAAATGTGGTTGGAGAGCATGCACTGGAACAGTCATCAGCGAGAGCACAGTTATTTAAGGTAGAAAAGAGGGTGGCTCTTACACAAATGCTACAGAGATTAGTTGGGGGTCATAAATTGGATGAGGCCTGGGAAGTCTTGCTGATCAAGCAGTGCAAATGAAACTTTTGAATTGCTGGTAAGAATCAATGTGTCAGCGCTGCTAACATCGGATGTTTTTGCATTGACAACAAAGGGAAATGTAGCTATCTTTTACCTTTTGCTTTTAGAGTTAGATGATGCTGGGAGGGGGGATATGAACGAAAGTTCAGCTAGACATAACAACACTAGACCTAGTGTGAGAAACAAGGTTATTGTAATCAGAGCTGATAAAGAATTGGCGGGCTGGAGAACTGGAGAGGAGGGCCCCCTTCAAGCTAATTTGGGAATGTGATTTATGATTGTTAATTGAAGGAAGGAATTGTGCTTTGATACTATGTGCTCAGGGGAGGGGGATTCAGTTTTTGGCTTGATTATGCACTGCTGATGTTATGCTACTCAAAATAAAGATTCTTTAAGGTAAACAAAGTTCTTTTGAGTTTCATCTGTCGGAACCATGACACAATGTGTGTACTCTGCATTAGAGGTGGATAAGAACTAGATGTGGATTCCAAGGCATAATGTGGTTCATAACTTGTATGTGCAAGCATGAAGAACATCTTTGAACACCTTAAAGTGGCTACATCTTTTTCTAGCTTGTATAGCTGATCTTCATAAATAATATTTGAACTTGGAAGATTGATTTGGTTTAATAATATAACTATAGATGCTATATTCCCGGGGTCCTCTGGCAAGACTGCTGTGGAGCTATGATAATTTTTACCCAAACAAGAAGAATATATATAAAAAGGAAAAAGGTATAAGAACTTTCAGGTTTTAAAGACATATTTTTAAAAAATTGGTCAATTCAGCAAAAAACAATAATTTTTTCAGGTTTATTGGCCCCTTTAAATAATATTTTTATAAGGTTGGCTATTATTTCCTCTGTGCTGGAGATATAACCCGTTTGAAGGAAATATAATTTATATATAATTATATGGACATGTCCATCTTACTGATTAGATATTATTCTGGTGAACAAATTCTTGGTATGAAGTTAAGGGTCAAGGAGATTAAAGTGCCATTAAATTATATTCTGTAAATTTGGCACTTCTCAATTTATGAAGAGGTTTAGCTATATCATGCCTGAACTGTGGCTAGTGATTATGCATTCTTCAAAGGATTCTAGTGTACCACAGTTGAAAAAAAATTAAACAGATTTTAGTTGGAGTGAAACTAACACTTACAGGTTAATTTCTTTATTAAGGAAACTTCATTTTCTAATTATTGAGGGGGTGGGGAATAAATACTCTAAACTATTTTGACTTTTATATGTGGCCAATATATTTGATTCTAATTAAAAATGAGAAATTTTAGTATATTCGTTGCCTTGAGTTGATTAAAATAAGACAAGATAACATCATCATTATCATCATCTAAAATTGTTTATTCTGTTTTCATATAAATAAATGTTCTCCTAGGCACATTATTTTACAACAACATTACTATCAGACCACTATTCACCTGTCTATTTCTGTTTTGACTATTTCACTGTTCAACACTCAAACTTATTCTTTATTTCTTCATCTTTAGACAAGACAGGCAGACTATATTGTTCTTCATGTTCATTAAAAATAGGATGTTGAAAGCATCAGTTTTGAATAGATTAAGCTGACTGATAGCCCTAATTTCTTCCTTCTCTTTTCCCAAGTCTGCATACATTTCAAACAATTATCTAGACCTGGTTTACTTAAAACTTATTTTCTTTATTCTGCAATGGTCTGCAACATGCCATGTCTTTGCTTCAGCACTGGGGCTGCAAATAAGGATTTGCAAATATTAAGATTTCATTCTATAAAAAATGTAGTCTATTATCCCTTCAAACAGGGCATTAAGCTCAGAAACTGCCAAATGACTGCAGTGCTAAATCTGCAGAATTGTATGGATACATTATCCCTTCATAGATGTTTTTGTTAGGCTAGAATAGGGTAACTCCAAAAGCCTATGACTTCTGAAATAATAGTATAAGTCTCCTTTTAAATACTGGAGAGAACATGCAAATTTATAGGCAATGACAGACACTGGGAATCCAGAACAGAATAACCATAGCATCCAACTACATGATGAGGAAAACCAACTTCTATTTGTTCTTTCCTTGTACATTAGTACTTAAAAATTTGTGACCCCTTTTGAATATTCAGTATTCCTGTATAAATATGACATAAAATGCAATCTGTTCTCGACAAAGTCTTGAAACTAGATAAAGAGAACCCAATTAACAAATGAGTCAAAAACATTATGTTTGTTCATTTATTTATTTACTGTTTATTCAGGTAAATGATTTCTTTATCGTCAATAAATAAATGAACAAGTATAATTTTAGTCCTCACTTAACGACCACTCGTTCAGCAAACATTCAAAGTTACAATGGCACTGAACAAGGAGACTTATGACTGATTCTCATACTTTCAAAGTGTCCCTGCTGTCAGGTGATCATAATTTGGTAATTGGCTCATAATTGCAATTGCTACAATGTCCCACAGTCACGTGATCACCATTAGCAACCTTCATTGCCAGCTTCTGACAAGCAAAGTCAATGGGGAAGCTGGCGGGTGGTCACATAGGGTGATCACATGACATCACATTTAATACAAGTAGCCCTCGACTTACAACAGTTCATTTAGTGACCGTTCAAAGTTACAATGGCACTGAAAAAGTGACCTATGACCATTTTTCATTGTTACAAATGTTGAGGCATCCCCATGGTCATGTGATCGAAATTCAGATGTTTGGCAACTAACTCATATTTATGACGGTTGCAGTGTCCCCGGGGTCATGTCATTGCCTTTTGCAGCATTCTGACAAACGAAGTCTATGGGGAAACCCAATTCACTTAACAACCATGTTACTGGCTTAACAACTGCAGTGATTCACTTAACAACTGTGTCGAGAAAGATAGTAAAATGGGGCAAAACTCACTTAACAAATGTTTCACTTAGCCACAGAAATTTTGGGCTCAATTGTGGTCATAAGTTGAAGACTATCTGTAACAATGTGGTTTCCCTTAACAACGGCAACTAGAAATCCCAAAACTGCTGTTGTAAGTCAATGTGATCACATGACATCATCCTTTATGACTGCGTCACTTAGCAATGGAGTAACTGTGGACCCAATTACCATTGCTAAACAAGGACTATCTAGATAAATGAACTAGATAGCTGATTTTGCCTAAAATAAAACAAAACAAAGCTTATTTTTTGAAATGTGAAAATGCTTTACGGGTTAGATATTATTTCACCTATGTTTTAAGCATCTCAATTTCTTCCATACTGAAAAAAGAAAGAAGGTTTATGCCTCTATAGCATCTTTCCAGATTAGAATTCAATTTTCTATATATTAACTTTGTTATTACTACATAAATGAGACTTAAGCAAATCTGGATAGGTAGATGATGAGTTTGGCCATTTTTTTATTATTATTATTAATCTCTGGAAATTATAATATGCAGATAGGAAACAAAACTTTTTAAGTGCTGCAGGTAAATGCATAAAGATACTTCTTCCTCAAACTGTACTGGAGTCATTCTACTAAAATAATTATTTCATTAATCAACCTATTTAGTGCAATCAGAAAATCTGATTCTTCCAGATGTTTAGGGTCAAAACTTATATAATTCCCAACCAGTGATTAGGTCCCTAAAGTCTAATAAAATGGAAGCCCAAGGTATCTGGAAGAATACATAGAACAAACCCATCAGGACCAAATTCGGCAGTCCATCTGCATTTAAAAGACAAAGGCCACTCTTTCAAAGACAGTAAAGTCCACATTTTGGACAGAGAGGACCGCCAATTTGAAAGAAGGCTCAAAGTGGCCATCTATGTCAAAACTGAAAAGCCCTCTCTCAACAGAGGGGGAAGGATATAACATCATCTATCTCCAGTCTACAACACAGTCCTTTCAGTAGTTCCAAGAAGGCTCCACACCCATTTGCACTACTCAGGTGACTCTGATGACACAAATAAACCTCAACAACACAGATAAGCATCAACAACTCTCTAAAAGAATGCAAATGACCAGCTGACTGCAAGGAATATATATCTTTCCATTCCCCACTATCCAATCAGAGCTGAAGAAGCTTCTTGGATGAGAAGTGAAATGTCTTCAAAGAGAAAAAAGAAAGTCCAGTTGCCTCGTGGAAAAAGCACCTTTCGGATGATCTGGAAGAATACTAGGTCATCTATTTCTCCTATAGTGTAAGCAAATCCAACCAAATTCAAAGGGACTCATAGTTAAAGTAGCCAAGCCCAATTAGTTTACTAAATCTATGTTTCTGTATAGAGATCAGTTCTAATGACCTTTTTTGTTCAATACGGAACCTATAAAGTAACTTTAAAAGGTCATTTCATTCTACCTATCCCCTTCCCACACCAAACCTCCCTTCTCCCCAGAAGAAACCCCACACATGTCACAGGTATGGCCACCTACCTGGTCACTTTGTTCCCATTCTCTTAGTTGTTTCAGAGAAGGAATGCTCCATATAGTCAGTCTTCCAGAGAAATGTATAACTGCTAGACGAGTGTTGTCTGGAGAAAGTCTCATTTTGAAGACACCATCCTATCACCGTCATTTCAGTGAAGGATGAAAACAGAAAGAAGAAAATTAGGAGAAACATTAACCTCACAATTCACATTTTCTGCCACTTCCAAAGTAGATATATTTCTCATTCGAGAGATTCCAGAGTATAAAATCTGAAATGGTTGTTCATGACTATGTGTCAATAGCAACATACTCCTACGAGTGTCTACTAGGAAGCAAGAAATGCTGAGTTCAGTGTACCATACTTCTACAGAAAGCCCAAGCAAAATCTGAAAATTTCCAATTAAAACTACCATTAAAGGCCATTATTCTTATGACGTCTTGTGTATAACTCTCATCAGATCCAAACATTCAACCCTGAAGCTGGATATGATTCACATTCATAAGCTGCAGGATGATGAATAGTTTCCATTAAATCTACACAAATTTGAAACAGTATTTAGAGTTTTCCTTACACTCAAGGACCCCCAAAATGATTAATTTCAGCTGTAATTATTTAAGTCACTTTTATCACCATTATATTGTTTTTGAACAGCCAGATGGCAATCAGAACGAAAAGTATATCCAACAATCTACAGGTAATCCTCAATTTAAAACAGTTCATTTGGTGACCATTCAAAATTACAACGACACTGAAGAAAGTGACTTATGACCATTTTTCACATTTGTGACCAATGCAGCATCCCCATAGTCACATGATCAAAATTCAGACACTTGGCAACTGACTTGCATTTAGGATGGTTGCAGAGTCCTGGGATCATGTGATCACCTGACAAGCAAAGTCAATGGAGAAGCCAGATTCACTTTACAACTGCATTATTAACTAGTACAGTGATTTGCTTAACAACTGTGCCAAGAAAGGTCATAAAATGGGGCAATGTTCAGTTAACAACTGTCTTGCTTAGCAGCAGAAATTTTGGGTCAATTGTGGTCATATGTTGAGGACTACCTGTACCTTCCTTAAAAGCACAGGAATCTTAATAATCAACAATTCTTGTATATTCTCCATTACCTTTTCCCTTCCTTGTCTGTTGTTAAATGAAAGATGAAAGATCTTAAACAATGAACTTTTTTTCACCTGTTAAAAACAAACTTGTATTAAATTCACTTTCTTTCTGTCAGACGCTAAGAGCAAAAGGAATGAAACTGAAATAAAATATACATAAAATACATATGTAGACTTCGGAAACTTCCTTAAAAACATAAATTACAGCAGTAGGGATTCCAAGCACTCATACTGTAACCTTAAAAATATTTTAAACTCAGTCAATAATTAGAAAAGAATATGGATTGACTTCTTACTATGCTGTTTTTACAATATATATATAGGAAACCTGATGCTCTGAAGATGTTTAGGTCTACCATTCCCACAATCTTCCTGTTAAATATAATGGCTGGCCCTGACGGATGTAAAATCAAAAACATCTGAAGAAACAAGACACTTAATATTAACGGTATATTAATAGCGGGTTTCAGATGGCTATTTCCAATATATATCATGATGGCATATTTAACACATTTAACACTTTAATGTAACCAGATTTAATCCTTTAGTTACTTTTGTAAAGCCAATAAACAGAATTCTCCTTAACTTGTAACCCTTGTAACAAGTCTGCAAAGTAAGAGCTGTTTTCCTCCCAAAACACCCAATTTTATTATTTTAAAATCTGTTAACAATTACAAGCATCCCAAAGCTAGGGTATTTTCCCCAAAGATTTGATGAAGATTCTTACATAGTTCAATAATAAATCATTCTATAATACAGAAGACAGCAGAACTTAATGGGATCTGAGTTGGCAGTGACTGATAGAAAAATGAATTTGGTGGCATGGTGGGAAATTCAACACTACCCAGTGCTTGAATTTGCATATCCAATTCCACATTACATAATGATCTTGGATCTTGACTTGATAAATTGATAAATTTGGACAGTATGATTTTGTCTTTTTATAAAATAAACCTCCCAAATGCCCCAGTATTGAAAAGAGTTGTATTTGATGTTTGCTGGACTTAATACTTCAATAGAAAAAGAGCTTAAATGTAGATCATGACTAAAAATGCTCCCCATACTTTCTCTAAAATTTAATAATCAGTGTAAATATACTTAGATGATGATGATCACGTCTTCTCCATCTGAGTACCCAACTATAGCAAAGTCTACCTAAAATTTAGGGATATGAATATTATATAGTCATAACCTCTGAATAATTACTTAACAAAGTGAAGTGTCGGTTCTACAGGGAACACTACACATTTATTATGGCTTATTGTAATGTCAAATGTAGGATCTGCCTATTAATGAATTTTGGGGATTTTACTCCAGTGCTTGTGATGGGATATCAATGACAGAAAATAAATGTAAATAGTCCAATACACTTTATTTATACTTACGATCCCAACATCGTCTTCGTAACTAGTAACCTGCTTATAATAGGGTGATCCAGAAAGAACTCTCCATACTGACAAACCACAACTACTTGCTTTAGACATTCCAGCTCCATCATCATCCACTTCATAGCCACCAATAATCAAGACTCTATCACAAAAAGATGACAGACAATTTAGTTTGGCATCCTCCAGTTCCTTAAATTTGCGCCATGGCAAAAAGTATTTTCAGCTGTCATAATTTAATAATTACTGATTTCAGCCTTTAAAACCATTATTTATATCATTCTGCCACCTGGGCATAACAAATCCCAAATCCCAATTCCTATTTAAAACTATTACTTAGAAAGAGAAAAAGAAAATCAAGAACTAAATCTCCCTGAATTCAGCTCTATTTGCCACTAAGTGTATGAGATTGTAAAGTAATTAATCTAGCAAGCTAATTTCCTAAGTAATTATGTGTTTCAATTTTTTTAGAACTCATTGTAAATTAAAAATATGTAGTGAGGAGATATGGCATCATTTACCCAAATAAAAGAATGAAAAAATGTTTTACACTTTTGGTTTTTTGCAAATAGTAAAATATTACCACCTAGTGGTAGATGAACAGACAAGCACATTTTGTCATGAATAATGCTTATAACTGTAATTTATTTCATTGGCTAGTTATCAAGTACGGAGTAATAAAAATAAATAAATTCATCCTTGCAAAAAAGAATTGTCTATTTAAATTCTTTATTAATTTTCCAACAGGCAAGAGATTTTATTCAATTCTGCTTTTAGATTTCCTGGCAATTTATTTTATTTTTTTTGGGCAATTCGGGTAACCATGATTTTATTTTAAAAATAATTAATGTTTTCTTTACTGTATCAATTTATGTAACCATTCATATTATACCCAAGACATTTTATTAGCTAAAAAAAGCACTGCAGCACAAGTTTAAAATTTTAAACAATTCTTCACAGAGCTGACAAAATGCAAAACAGAAGCAACAATTTAAGAGAGATGGCATCGTATTTCTCTGCTCACCAATTCGGAAATGATCTGAGCTCCTACAGGCACACAATTGTAATTGAAAGAAAGCTCACGGGAAGGAGATCAACCACAGAAATATTTGAATTACATTGAAAATGAGTTCAGAGTTATCAGGGAGCAAGGGGGAGAAAATGGGCAATGTAACAAATACAATAGTTCTCCCTTATGAGAAGCAAGGAAATTAGCCATTATACCCTGGGAAATGATATAAACCATGCACTGAAGTAATAATCAGGAACATTTATGCAAGATACACAATAAGTTATACTGAAGAGAGCCAGTTTTGCGTAGTGATAAAGATGCTGGGTTAGAAACCAGATGATGAGTGCTAGTCTTGTTTTAGGCATGAAAGCTGACTGGGTGACTTTGGGCCAGTCACTCTCTCTGCCCATCTCACCTCACAGGGTTGTTGTTATGGGGAAAATAGGAGGCAGGAGGATTAGGTATGTTTGCCACTGTGAGTTGACCAAAAATATATAAAAGGCAGAATAAAAATGATGATGATGATGATGGAGGATGATGGAGGAGGAGGAGGAGGATTAAGGGGTAGAAATAGAGTTGTGCAAAGCATTCCAAAGAATATCTTGCAAAACATGCTGGTGTAAGAGAAGCAGTCCATCTTAAGCAACAAGGTGAACAGATTTGATTTGACTACCTCAAAGGTTTTCCCCAGTTGTATGCATGGATACTGCTCTGAAAATGCCAGCTATGCATGTTCAGACAGTCAGAGATGGCCTTCAAAGAAACTGTTTTCAACCTTCCAGAGCAGGGGTCTCCAACCCCCAGTCCGTAGACCAGTACTGGGCCGCAGCACGCCAGCAACTGGTCCACACAAACAAGCAAAGCCCCCTCTGCAGGATGCAGGCAGCACACAAAACCGCACCCCCTCTGATCCACGGAAAAACCTCTCTCCATGTACTCCTTACTTAGCGATCATAATTGGGGCCGAAAACTTAAATCGTTAAGCAATGTAATTGCTAAATGAAATATCACATAACCATGATCAACAGTGTGGCTTCCCACTTGGTTGTTAAATGAGTCACTGAGGGTCATTAAGTGAGATAACACGTCACTGTGAATTGTGATTTTACTGCCCACTTCTCCATTGACCCTGCTTATCAGAAGACAATTATGAAGCATGCAAATGGGGATGACTGTGGGAACACTGCTAAGGTTGGAAATGCAAGAACCAGCCATAAAGTTACTTCTTCAGCACCATCATTAACTTTAAACAGGCAGTCATTAGGCAAGGTCTAACTTTTAAAACATTGAGGAGTGCAGTCGCTTGTGCTTCATGAAGCACTGTTCCTGAATATTTTGCACAGCCCTAAAATTACTGGACAATGACATCTTAAAATAAAAACTAAGCCCATGAATAAAATCAAACGAGTAACAATTTATTGGAGAATTGTTACTGAACTTGGAGAATAAAATTATAGCGAGAGTCTAAAATTTTAGGGGCAGAGAGACTCCTGACATTAGTCATAAAAAGTCCTTCAGAAAACAAACTCAGATTATTTCAGCTCGAATACCTCAATCTGAATGTGAACTTAAGGAAAACTGTAGATTGGTAACTGGGATGTAAAAAAAAATTACAACGAGGCAATTTGGTTAAGAGTATGTCAGAGATGAAAGGACAATGGAGAGAGTCCTCGACTTACAACCCCAAATGAGCCCAACATTTCTGTTGCTAAATTCAATGACTTTTGCCCCATTTTACAACCTTTGTTGCAACAGTTGTTAAATGAATCACTGCAGTTGTTAAGCTAATCTGTCTTCCCCAGACCTTGCTTGTCAGAAGGTTGAAAAAGATGATCATGTGAGACGGAGACACTGCAACGGTCATAAATATGAGCCAGTTGCCAAGCGTCTGCATTTTGATCACGTGATCCTGGGGCTGCTGCAACGGTGTGAAAAAAAGGTCACTTTTTCCAGTGCCATCAAATGGTCACTAAATCAACTGTTGTAATTCGTGGGCTACCTGTAATCAGCAATACAAAGCAGATGGCTAACTTTTAAAACTTGTAAACATGTTCCTTTCAAAAATGTGTAACATTTTGAAGAACAATGACAACTCAAGACCATATTCTCTAGGGCAGGGTAGGCTATGCTGACTCAGGAATTCTGGGAGTTGAAGTCCATGAGTCATAAAAGAGTCGAGTTTGCCTATCCTTGCTCTAGGGAAAGTGATAAAAGAACCCAGAAATAAATATTTTCAGCAAAGTTCAAAAGTATTCACAACAAGAGAAACAAGAAACAAGAAATATCATTTGCACTCCAGTTTTAAATAACGCAAATCGCAGAACTCATTAGAGCAGGTGTAGCTGACCTGCAGCCCCCACAGTCCACATGTGGTAATGTGGTAAAGCTGGTAATGAGGCCACAATGTTGTTGTTTTATGGATAAAATTGCAAATGGGATGCAATATGTGGGTTTTTGCCAACAATCTTCCCAATAATCAACATTATTTTTCAATGGTTTGGTAAGAGAGTTAAAATATTGGCTGGTAATATTTCTAGAGGAAAAAAAATGTTCTGGACTAAAAAATAGGTCATCATCCATAGCAAAAATTAATTTGGAAACTTACTTCCACATGATTCTGCTTTATTTTCAATTATTAGATTCAACAAACTACTCATCAGAGACCCATAAGGGATATATGCAATATGAAACAGAACCATATATTTATTGAAAGATCAAGTTGGGTCAAACAAATTTTATTTCATTAGAGGGATTTTCTTCACTATCTGGCTACAGCAGCAGGCAAATAAATGCATACACACAGAACTTGTTTATCAAAGGTATACAGGTAGTCCTCGACATACGTCCACAATTGAGCCCCATGTTGCTACGTGAAATATTTGTTAAATGAGTTTTGCCCCATTTTACGACCTTTCTTGCCACAGCTGTTAAGTGAATCATTGCAGTTGTTAAGTTAGTGGCACAATTAATTGAATCTGGTTTTCCCACTGACTTTGCTTATCAGAAGTTCACAAAAGCTGATCTCGTGACTCCTGCACATGGTAATGCTCATAAATATGAACCAGTTGCCAAGCATACAAATTTTGACCATAGGGATGCTACAATGGTAAGTGTGAGAAACGGTCGTATGTCACTTTTTTCAGTACTGTTGTACCTTTCAACAGTCACTATATGAACCGATGTAAGTAGAGGACTACCTGTATAGGCTTCATAATGTTCTGTTGCTTTATCCCAGACCGCTTATTGTGCAAAATTTGCCATAGCCCCCTCACCCATTGGAAATTGTTGTAATAGTATGTGGCAATGACCTTGGGAGACAAGAAGAAAAGCTACAGACTAGACCAGAGGTGTCAAACTCGCAACCTCATGTGACGTGTCACGATGTATCACGACTTTTTTTGCCACTGCCGGCAATGGGGTAGGCACGGTTTCGCTATGATGCATCCAGCCTGTGGGCCAGCAGTTTGAAACCCCTGGACTAGACAATGGTCAGACAAATTGCAGTTTAGCCTTCACAACAAATAGGGGAATGGCAAACATCTCAGAAGGGACCTTTCCTAGTTTCTTAAACTGTAAAGGTGAAGGGGGAGAACGGCAAGATCTATTAATGTAAGCTTAAAATATTATAAAAAGTTAGAGCTGTACTTCTGGGTGTGCTTCTTGTCATGACTACCTTGCAAGCTGACAATTGTGCATGCCTGCCATACACTAAAAAGAGTCCCTTTTTACGACTATCTAATTCCTTAATTTGGGGTAGAGTCAGAGGGGCTGAATGATGCCGAGCATTTACTGGCTGGATGCCCTTCCCAATGCCACGTGGAGTTCACAGCAGATATTTTTTTCTTTGCACTCTAGGAGAGAAATATCTGCTGCTACTTAGGATTGAACTCTCAACCTTCCGAGTGGGAGGCAAGCATCTTTACTACTTGGCCACCACGTTACTCATGCCTGACATACACTAACTTTTATGTAAATCCTCTTGCACTGGTGCAATAGTTCCAGAAGATCTCAGAGAGTTTAGGATTAATATAGCAACAAAGACCATCTATTACCTTTCCAAAACCAAATGAAACGTTATTACTAATGTTTGCTAAGTGCCAGTGACTGCTTTTATTAATTACCTCACTGCAATCAAACATTTCAGAAGGAGTGGGGGATGACAACTAAATGTTATCAAGCCCCTGGCTACTTCATTAAAATATTTAATTTACTCAATCTTACCGATGTGCAGGATAATAAAGTACTCCAGTTATTCCATTAATATAGTGCTTGCTAAAGTTGAAAACATGGCTCTCCTGGTAACTCTGATTTGTTCCAACACTAGATCAGAAAAAAAAACACAGGACTTATTTTATGAAATAGGATTCCTAATAAATTATTGGTAGACACATTAAATTATATTTACCTCACAAGGTAGCTTTTCAGTTCACCACGATAATTGATGACTAACAGTTCAGCTGACCACTGAGCGCTGGCTTTGTATTCCAAGAAGATCAATCCTGCAATGGCGTAAGTCAAGTCCCCTGGGAAACTAGTGTCCTATTTAAAAATAAAAATTAAAAAAAAAACAGTTTTTTTTCAGCAAAGAAGTTAAAAGGGTTTCAAACAGTAGAAAACATTTTCTAATTGAAACCAAACTTTTTTTAAAAAAACCAAAAACAAAAATTCAATCTCTCAATGGTATATTATTAAAAGTGAGCCTGATGTTTTATAGAGAATACGCATTCCTCACTTACTGACAACAAAGAAATTTCATCATGTAGCATTATCAACACTTATTAATAGCACCTTAATAAAGTAAAAAGAAGTAAGTGGAAAATTCTTCCACTTCGATGCTTTTTTCAAAATCCATCCATTCCTGCATTTTTCAGTGTTTGATAACAGGCCTATTAGAAAAGTCTAGTTAGCATTCTTTAAAATTATATTGTAGCAATTGCGATTTCTGATCCACAAAAAACCAGTATGGTATGGTGATTAAGGTGCTGGCCTAGAAACCAGGAGACTGTGAGTTCTAGTTCTATGTTAGGCATGAAAGGCAGAAAGTGACATTGGGTCATTCACTTTCTCTCAGTCTAAGCCACCTCACAAAATTCTCTTTGTGGGGAAAATGGGAGGAAGAATGAGGATTAGGTAAGTTCACCACATTGAGTTACTTACAAAATAATAATGTGACATAAATAATAAATAAATACATGCCTGTCTTCCAGTATGAAAGTAACTGGTGCTAAATGATATTCTGTTTGAAATTATTATTTTAGAGACCAGCAGCAATTTTAGGCCAATACCAGCAGCCTTATTTTTTTTTTTTTGTAAAAAAATTTTATTTTCAATTTTGCAATACATTACATCAGTGGTTCTCAACCTGTGGGTCGGGACCCCATTTGGGGTCGAACGACCATTTCACGGGGGTCGCCAAACAACGCAGTCCGCCATTTTTCCCCCCTTTTCCTTAGCTGTGCTACTCCCTTTTATTCTATTGGCTTTTGAAAGCCAATAGAATAGACTCTCTTGAATAGAGTCTAATTCTATTGGCTTTCAAAAGCCAATAGGAATTGTCCAGGCTGTCTCTGCCCTGCTGAGCCCGCCAAAAGTCCCATTCTGCAAACGATGCTGCACCAGTTGAGTAGTCCTCGACTTACGACCGGCTGAGTAGTCCTCGACTTACAACCGGTTGGGGGTCGCGGCATTAAAAAGGTTGAGAACCACTGCATTACATTCATAAAAATACTTCAGATAAAAAATAAAATAAATTGATACACACAACTTTCGGTATTGCTCACCCATTTTCCCCCAAACCGCATCCACCCTCTAACCTATTTCCCTCTTTTCCTCTTCTTCCTCACTCTCCCCCTCTCCTCCTTCTCCTCAACCGTCCTACTTGCTTCTCCCCTTCTTCTTATCTTCTCGCTCCGGATGCGGTCTAGGGGAAATGCCCGAGCAATTCCTCTCTCCAGATTAAAACATCAAAATTATATACAATAAAACTATTTCTACTTATCTGAACTACTTAAACTTGTTGACATAAATAAAATTAAGTATACTTTGTTTAAATATCTGCAAACAAAGGATGCAAGCTTACCAAACACACGTGCAAAATAGCTGTGCAACCAAATGAGCCACAAAGCATATAATAATGCAAGTTCTCAGCTTAAGACGTTAAAGCTGCAATGACTAAGAAGATTCCATTGAATGGTAATTGGACTTGTAAAGCTTGGAAAGGAAAAGAAAATACCGGCTGGATGAGGAAGAGTTCACTGCCGACCAAGTCAAATACTCGAACGGTTCCCATGCTTTCACCGTAGGCAAGCAAAGTGCAATCGTGACTCCACGCAACACATCTCCACTGGGGATTCGGATCTTTAGGGACTACATGGCAAAGATGTAGATAATAGATAAACTTCAAATCACAAAAGGTTAGCAAAAAATCTCTTTTTCCCCAAACTACAACTTTTAGACAGTTGCACAGCAGAATAGGCGTTCCAATGTTCCCTAGGGCAAAGCCATTCTAAAAATAACTACTTTGTTTTATAGCTACTCTGCATCGAAGGATGGTGTAATGCTGATTTGATAATCTCTAAACCAGTGTTTCTCAACCATGGAGTAGAAGTGGGCTCATGAATCACAATCACAGGCTGAGAGCTCTGAATTATAATGAAAGCTCTTGAAAGTTATGGGAAAGAAGGGAGAAAAAAAAAACCAGGGCTGTACTTCTATAACCGTATCTCCACAATCACTCTGAAAATTATGTTGTTGTTATTGTTTTTTTTAAAAAAGAGTTAGGAAGATACAATATTATTTCATTTGCCTATTTTACATCCATAAATGTTTTAAGGGGCAAGTGTGATTGACTAATTAATTTATTTAGGACAGAGCAATTACATATTCTACCTACTGATTTGGGCCTCCCTTATTTCAGGGCTCATACAGTCTGTTTCTCTTCTATTTCTTTGGGTCTGTATGGCTCAAAATCAGAGACAAAACCCTGCAAATGTAGGTTCCTCAACAAACACGCCATTGCTCTGGTCTCATAGTACAAAAGCATGAAGTAGCCATTCAATGGTTTGGCATGGTGATTGCTCAGATATCCTGCCAGGAAGGCCATGAAACAGCCACACTGAGCCTTTGAGTTGCTATGGCTTGTTCATGTTGCGGATCCAGAAAATGCTGGATGTTGAGATCTAATCATGTGAACTCTGGCAAAACCGAAGCCAAACATTAGACTAACTAGGACCAAATTGGCTTATTTTAGGGATTGCACAAATGCTGGCCTCCTGTTTTAAACACTCCTTGCATCCTTTCTTTAATGATTCTATTCCACTATTTATTCGATATTAGTGTAACTTGTGTCTGAGTTGGCCATGTCGAGTTGGCTGTGGGGAGCTGGCCGTGCCGAACTGTCCTAGACCAAGGGTGTCAAACTCGCCACATCACATGATGTGTCGTGATGTTTCGCGACTTTTTTCCCCTTGCCAGAGCTGGGATGGGCGCAGCTTCCGCGTGACACATCCAGCTCGCGGGCCGGCAGTTTGACACCCCTGTCCTAGACCCTTGTGAAAGGGGACCGATACTAAACAGAAGGGGGAATCAAGCCAGGGCAAGCTTAGTGGAGCCAAAACATTAATCATCTTTTTGTAGAAAAGGAGAAACATAAAGAAACAAAGAGGAAATAGAATGCAGTAGCTAGAAACCAAACTGGAACTTTTCGTTAGAACTGCATTTGATAGGGTTTGTTTTGTATTTTTTTTCTGGATAAGTGAAAAAATTACTTACCTTGACATTTCCCAATGACAGATCCAAATTCATCCTTGGCAGACCTGCAACATTCAAAATGCACGCTTTTAAGGTTTGCACATATCTTGATTGTTGTCTACACTACTTCTTCAAGGGCTGAGATTACACCAGTCTTTGAATGTCACTTTAAAAAATTGTGCTTTGTAAAAGGAGGCAGGTCCATTTTAAGATATTTCAAAGTAAGCGGAAGCGAAAATTAAGCATCATTTTAAATTAATGTATTTCACTATTAAAAGTTAAAATATGGATACACTTTCCATAATTCACGTCTACTCACATGTCACTTGATGCTTCTTTTAACAAAGGAAAAAGAATGCTACAATAGGGTTTCAACAACCTCCTCTCTCACACACTGACAGTCCTTGACTTACAAAGGCAATTGGAACTGGAATTTTCACTACTATGCAATGCCATTGTTAACTGAATCCTACAGTTATTAAGTGAAAAAACTTCCTGCCAGCTTCCCACAACCAAAATTAGTGGGGCAACCAGCAGGAAGTTGCAAGTTCCAGGTCACAGGCAGGTAACTGGTTGCTGCCAGCTGGAGGGAGCGAGGGAGCGTGGGGGCATGGGCTGGAGGATGGTCAGCACAAGGAGGTGACAAAGATATAGTTCAGAGAAGATGTGGGGTTGCGATACGAGTCAGGGAAAATGCACAGGGTTGTGCGGGGACACATTACTGGCTGCTGCAAGAACAGAGGGTGTGGCTTGGGGAGACTCATCCCAGTTATTTGTGACCTTCTCTGCTGGCTTCTCCATTAACTTTCTTGGGAAGTCAGCAGAGAAGGTAACAGATGGCAATTGTGTGATCATGGAAAAGTTTGGAAGTTGGTTTACGCTAGGTTATACTTTGATGGCCATGGACTGTAAAAAGAGAGGAATGGATGGATCGTGTCACTCAGATGCGAGAACTGGGATTTGGGTGGTTTGAAGATAACTGATCAAAATGTTCATAAAAATGAACACAATTTACACTTTAGCTTTTGTGCATTTTCTACCTTAAATGGCAAGAAGCTTATACTAAGAAAAAAAAAATCAACAATTGTTAATGGTATGATCAAAGGTGGCTTCAGAAGTTGCAAAAGGTAGCCAGAACTGTTTAGCTGTTATTATTCCTATGCAAAACTCTTTAATATCTGCCTGCTTTGCAACCACTGTGCAAAGCTCCATCAATCATATAGCCGAGAGGAGGGAAAGGCAAGAAAAGCTGAAATACTAAGTGATGTCAACCTTACCAAGTAGACCAGACAGGAAACACAACCAAAGAAACTAATTCTACTTTATTGTAAGGCTACCTTAACAGAATCTTGCAATTATGAAAGTAGGGAAAGGGCCCTTCTGAACCTCTTGATCTTCCCCTTATGCAGCTGAAGACTATGTTCTCTCTTATCCAGGGGTTCTCAACCTTGGCAACTTTAAGACTTGTGGACTTCAACTCAGCTTTGCTGGCTGAGGAATTCTGGGAGTTGAAGTCCACAAGTCTTAAAGTTGCCAAGGTTGAGAACCCCTGCTCTTATCCAATCATTCCCTAGGAAGCATTCCTTCACCCTGCCTTCCAAAGTCATTTCCACATGCCACTGCAAGTGAGCAGCAAAGAAAGCTCTGAATTCAGTTGCTTAAAATATGTTTTATCTAAATTTTCCCATCTGGTATCTATAAAATTATTCTGGCTGCATGTGCAAGATAGGATTTGAATTGCGATTTTTGGATCAATTGTCTTACAAGATAAACAATGCATATCACGGCTCCTTTTGACAGTTGCCATGTGACCATGTTCATAAATTACAGCCCATTTTGTGTAGAAGAAATGTTAACTCTTTAATTTAATCCATCACACAAAGTTATTCAGATGAAAAACTTTTTAAAATGAAAGAAAATTAAAGTCTCTGGCCATATTCAGAATTTATCTTATTCCTAAAGTAATACTAATACTTAAATACGTGGAAAACAGATAAGAGAGCTAAAAAAAAGATAAAAGATCCACATTTTCTCCTATATCTTGGTTGCAATTCTATAAATATATTTGTGTAGGAGATGACCAGGCTGAGTCTGAGGGAGGGGTCAAATGCATCATCAGTCTCAAGTCCCTTTGCGCCCACAAGAGATCTAAGTCCAGCCCACCTTGAATTCCTTTGACTCTTATCTGCTGCCAATTTGCTTTGACCATTAGTAGTTCAGATTCTTGTAGAGAACTTTAGCATACAATAAACCTATATAGTGGCACAGTGGTTAGAGTGCAGTATTGCAGGCTAATTCTGCTGACTGCCACCAGTTCGATTCTCCCAGGCTCAAGATAGATTCAGCCTTCCATCCTTCTGAGTTCAGTAAAATGAGAACCAGATTGTTGCTAACTCTGTAAATGGCTTAAAGAGGGCTGTAAAGCACTGTGAACCAGTATATATGTCTGCGTGTTATTGCTATATTAATTTGAACTGCCTAATTTCCTATGCTTGACAATTTGTGTAAGTATAAGCCTTACTAAATTCATATGTGTCCAGATATACAATTGTGCTGTTCTTCACTTACCTTATTTCTATAGTCTGGTCTTGAACAATTGCTAGCAGTTTTCCATTGCTACAAAAAGAAAAAGTCTGAATGAAAATCACAGGCAATTACTGCTTCCAAGACGTCTCAGGAATCATTTGATAGAGTCAAATCAAGGCAATACAAGGCAAAGGTGAGGTAGTCTCAATATTTTACAGAATCCTGATCTAATCTGGATCTAATCTATCTTTGCATTTCATATAATAAAAAAATGAGAGTACATCCTATGGCTGTCATAAAACACAAAATTCATTTCTACTGCTGAAATCCATTCATTTCAAACATTTTTCTCCCAAGTCAGAAACTGCAAAAAAATATAAGCAGCCAACAGCAGGATTTGTGGAGCGGAAACCAGGGCTAAAACTAGGACTTAAAAAGAACTCTCTACATAAAAAAACAAAAACCAGGATTCTTATCTATCTCTTTGCTACTGTTCACAAACTCAAATTCCCTATTGGTTTTATCAAATCTGGACTCAAGCAAAAATACTTCAAATTTCCCCCCTCTTTTCAAAAGTGATGTATTGAAGTCTGGATGTCAATTTCTGCACTGATTAGTTTAAAACAAATTAAACTAAAATCACCTTGCTGCAGATTACATATTATAAAGTATTTAGTCTGAGTGCAGGAAATCCAAAGTCAATTGCCATAATGTCAAAGGAAAAGGAATCTAGCCACCAACCTTGCAAGCTCTAGGTGCCAATTCATCTGTTTATTGACCAGGCGGACAAATCCAACAGGGAGAGACAATGTTGCACTACTGGAAGCAGAAATATGAATTATGTCAGAGCAATAAAGGTGATGCTTATGAATTTTAATTACATCACCATTGTTATGTAAAACAGAGGAACTGCAAGAAGTAGACATGTTTACAAATTCCTCCCCAAAGAGTACTCTTACACTTAATAGCTCTATTAAATACAGAACTCAAGATCAGAAATATTAAAAGTAGCCGAACTACCATTATTGCTATTTGTTTTCCTATTTTTATCCATCTGTTTTGTTGCCATTAATATTATATTTGTTTAAGCCATTGGTATAAGGCAGGGGTAGGCAACCTTGGCTCTTTTATAACTCATGGACTTCAATTCCCAGAATTCCTGAGCCAGCTATGCTGGCTCAGGAATTCTGGAGTTGAAGTCCATGAGTCATAAAAGAGCCAAGGTTGCCTATCCCTGGTATAAGGCAAACATTTACATTCTTGCAAGCAAGATATAAATCACTATAAAGTTAATAAGATTAAAAGCAAAGTATAAAAAAGCTCTGATGAGAAACACGCTGTCAAGATGTATTTGCTCTCAAGAGCTGTGTGTGTGTGCATGTGTGTGTATACAGTATATACGTACACACAGACACACACACAATTTACATTCCGTATTCTGAAAAAAAATCAAAGTGCCTTTTAGAAGATAAATCTTATTGAATACAAAATTGCCACTGTAGAACCAAAAATTATTACATATTCCAAATGCTATTTAAAATGCCACACACTCTCTCAGAGTAGCTTAAGGCAGAATGTTTAATCAGTTGTGTTTAACAGTAGCTTACCTGCTCCAAAAGTGGCGCAGAAATAAAGCAGGGCCTAAAAGAGAAGAATATAATTATCTTTGAAGAAAAGCAAGACCAATAGAAGAGGCTATTTTCTGTAACTGTTTTGTCAACAGACCTTGCAATTTGTCCCCCCCAAAAAAAACAAAACCCTTCTCCAAAACTTAATTTTGTATTTGGGGTTAGGCATGGAAATAATAACATATTAATTTTTCATTCTCATATCCTTAGCATTCTTACTCACTACTCATACATACGTTGGTACCAGAAGGTAGGAGTAAAAGGCTGTTAATCTTAACACATTAGTTTATTTTGTGGCAATGGTTTCTACCCTTAACAGTGTGTTGCTTACTTTATTATTTAACATAATCAAGAAACAACTAACGAGGTATATATGTACCTACAGAGATGCATCCAAATATACAAAAAAGATCCTGGGAGGCTTATGCTACACTTAAATTAATGCTAATAACCACAATGGACTGATGATGTCACTTCCCATTTAGTCATTAAGCAAGTCACCTGCAGTCATTAAGTGAGTTATCACATGACCATAACTTTCTATTTTACTGCAGGCTTCTTTATTGACTGCTTGTCAGAAGCTGGTTGCAAAGCACAGAAATTGTGATCATGTGACCATGGGAATGGTGCAACAGTCATCAGTGCCTACTGGTTGTGATGTGCCTACATGTTGATACTGTGAACACAGAGATATTGTGATGGGTGTAAATGCTAGGGCTGAGTTACTTTTTCAGTATCACTGTAACTTTGAACGATCATTAAACAGGGTAATCATTAAGGCAAAGTCTATCTCTAAATGCTATGCAATTCCTACTACCGGATGCAGTATAAGAATATCAAATAACAAGTTTATAACGTTAGTAATTTGTAACCATTTTTAAATCTTTTTATACTGTTCAGAGCCACAGCTGTGAAATGGGCAGCCATATATATTATTTAAATTAATTAATCCACACTATATTAATTTTAGCCACATAACAATGAAGCTATGGATATTTACCCATAATCACTCTTGTGATGATAAATGATGCATAATGCTTCTGGTTGCCTCTTGGCTGTAAGACCAAAAAGATAGTTTTCAGTAAGTCCTTTATTTGTAAGGCCATTAGAACAGAATAATAGAATAATAACTTTATTGTCACTTTGAATGTACACTAATCGGCATACTGCTCTCTAGAAGGCCAGATCCTGAAGTTGAAACTCAAATACTTTGGCCACCTAATGAGAAGGAAGGACTCACTGGAAAAGGGCCTAATACTGGGAAAGATTGAGGGCAAGAGAAGAAGGGGACGACAGAGAATGAGGTGGCTGGATGGAGTCACTGAAGCAGTAGGTGTGAACTTAAATGGACTCCAGAAGATGGTAGAGGACAGGAAGACCTGGAGGAACGTTATCCATGGGGTCGCGATGGGTCGGACACGACTTCGCAATCAACAACAACAAATCGGCATACATTAAAATGAAATTTCATTGCATATGCTCTCAAAGGGTCACCACCTCCAATATACACTACATAAATATGACATAAATAAATAAATACAGAATTATGTATATACTCACATATATTATATGACACAGAGAAACAACACAGTCTAGTTTGGATTATGTATACACGTGCATGGCGAGAAAAACAAATCTTGCGAGTTTACCAGACGGATGGCATAGGGAACAAAGCTATTACAGAATCGGGTAATCCTGCTAGAAATACTTTGAAACCTCCTCCCAGAGGGGAGCAACAGAAACAGACCGGGAAGTGGGTGTGTGGGGTCTCTAACAATGCTTTGAGCTTTAAGCACATAGCACTCATAAGCAGCATCCTGAATACCAGGGAGCGAGCTTCCTATGATCTTCTCGGCTGTTCTTACCAATCTCTATATGGACTTTCTCTCTGCCACCAAACCAGACAGTGATGCAGTTTGTTAAAATGCTCTCAATCGTGCCTCTGTAAAAAGTGGCCAGGACAGAAGGAGAAAGATGTGCTCTCCTCATCCAGCGCAGGAAATGCAGACGCTGGTTTGCATGCTTCATTAAGGATGACGTGTGGAGAGACCAATTCAGAATGTTAGTTATCTGCACCCCCAGATACTTAATACTGTTGACCACCTCTACAGCTACATCCTTGATACTGAGTGTAGTATGACAATGCTGATTCTTTCTGAAATCTACAATGATCTCCTTTGTTTTATCAACATTTAGAACGAGGTTACTATTATTGCACCAGTCCACCAGAGCCTTCACCTCTTCCCTGTAAGCATTTTGTCATCCCGGATAAGACCCACCACTGCTATGTTGTCTACAAACTTCACAATATGATTCGTAGCAGATTTGGCACAGTAGTCGTGGGTCATCAACAGTAACGGACTCAGAACACAGCCCTGTGGAGAACCTGCACTCAAGGAGATGGAATTGGAAACTTTCTTTCCAAGTCGCACAACCTGGGGCCTATCAGTAAGGAAATCAAGTATCCAATTACATAAAGGATTATTAAAACCTAATAGGCCCAGTTTGTTTACCAGATGCTGAAAGATGATTGTGTTGAATGCTGAACTAAAATTAATTAACAGCATTTGCACACGAGTATTCTTCCCCTCAGGTGCGCCAAGCTAAGATGAAGCACACAGGAAAGTGCATCTTCTACAGAGCGGTTCTTCTGATAGGCAAACTGTAATGAATCAAATGTAGGGGGAAGGCATGAAACCATGTAGTCCACAGGTGTCAAACTCGCCACGTCATATGACGTGTCACAACTTTTTGCACTGCCTGCAATGGGATGGGCACAGCTTCGGTATGATGAAACTGGCCTATGGGCCAGCAGTTTGACACCCCTGATGTAGTCCTTTCCCAATCTCTCAAAACATTTCATCATAATGGAAGTGAGTGCAACTGGATAGTAATCATTAAGGCATGTGATTTTATTTTTTTCAGGCATTGGTACAATGATTGCAGTCTTAAAACGTGATGGAACCACAGCCTGATGCAACGAGAGATTGAAGATGTCTGTGAAAACAGTGGCCAGCTGTTGCAGGTTATAAATTAACTGTTGGGATAAGCAACTCTTTAAAACTCTACTCCAAATTACTACTCTCTAAGTTCTTTTAGAGAATTGTGAAAGATATTTAAGAACTACTTCAAACCCAGATCCAGATAAGAAGACAGAAAGAAATTCAATGCTGCATGTTAATCCATGCATGCAATAGGACCCCATTTTATCTGTTAAGGCTCTTTCTTGGGAATACTCTTCTATAAGAAACACAATATTATAGTCACTAAGTGGAAATTATAAAAACAATCCTAATTTAGCTATGTGGTCTTCAGCATAACAAAAATAAAATAAAAAGAGCATTGATAACTTCAATTAGCAAGGAGTCATCGGGCAGATGCAATAAGTTACCTTAATCAAGCAGACAAAGAACTTTTTAAAATGATTAATAAATATCAATTAAGAGGCTGATTAAGCTCCATTGCTCAAAACACTTGCTTCACACTCTTCTTGTTGTAAAAAGTTATGGTGATCCAGGACAGAAAGGTTCCACTAATACAGCGGTTCTCAACCTGTGGGTCGCGACCCCATTTGGGGTCAAATGACTATTTCATGGGGGTCGCCAAACAACGCAGTCCGCCATTTTTTCCCCCTTTTCCTTAGCTGTGCTACTCCCTTTTATTCTATTGGCTTTTGAAAGCCAATAGAATAGACTCTCTTGAATAGAGTCTAATTCTATTGGCTTTCAAAAGCCAATAGGAATTGTCTAGGCTGTCTCTGCCCTGCTGAGCCTGCCAAAAGTACCATTCTGCAAACAGTGCTGCAAGTTGTCTGCAGCGAAGGCGAGCTGTCTGGAAGTTTCCACCCCTCCCTGCTGAGCAACTATTAAATGTAAGTAAAAGAGGGCCAGGGGTGGGAGGTCGGCGGGGCAGGGAGGGTTGCTGGCGCGCGTGGAGCTCGGCCGGTGCCTTACCTTCCTTGGGCTGGGCTAGCTGGTGGCTCAGCCGGTGGTCAGCCTGCGCCGTCTCTGCTGCTTGTCAGCTATGCCTCGGCCAGTGCAGGGGGCACCACGCATGCGCGGCGCTCCCAGGCAGGGAAAGTCCTCGACTTACGACCGGTTGGGTAGTCTTCAACTTACAACCGGTTGGGTAGTCCTCAACTTACGACCAGTTGGGGGTTGCGGCATTAAAAAGGTTGAGAACCACTGCACTAATACCGCTAACCAGAAAATCATCAGTTAACATCACAACCTTTGATGAAAATAAAAAAGCTGTAGACAATCTCTAGCTAATAACCAGTAACAATTCCCTGCAATGATGTAGAGCAGGGGTATCAAACTGCCGGCCCACAGGCTGGATGCATCACGAGGAAACCGCACCCACCCCATTGTCGGCAATGGGGGGAAAGTTCTGATACATCATGCGACATCATGTGACATTGTGAGTTTGATATGTTTCATGTAGAGTTATAGAGGAAAACGAAGAGAAGGAATAGACAAAAAAAGGACTTTCATTTGGGGAGAAATCAGATGCAGTCTCATAGCAAACAATTATTTTAATAATGCCACAAACAGGGCATAAATTATTATCCCTCTTTTCAATAAGAAACAATACACCCCTTGTAGAACTAGACAGCACCTCAGAAAGGAAACTTGACAGGGTCTGTCAGAAATATAAAAAAATCCAAAAACCGCCATGCTTCAACAAAAAAAAATATGATCTTCAGCCAGTAACAAATATCTCATGCCTTCAGCCAGATAGCCCCTATCTAATGTCTAATATAATTTTAACCACTTTGGAAGCAAACACTATCCTACTGTCCACATCTGCATGATTCATTTCTAGGACTGTGTCTACTCCACTTACTACATATACAAACCTTGTAGGGTTAATCATAAATTACATTATAACTTTACTGCTCCAAATAAAACTTTTTGTAGTGCCCACATAGAGAATTTGTTTTAGTTTTATTTATACTTCCATATAAATAAATAAATAAACTGTTTTCAGGCTTTTTTTTCAACTTCTAGCCTACAGCCCTGGTGGTCTCCCATCTAAACAATATTTAGCTGTCCCAAAATTAGATAAGATCAGCCTCACTTTACCATCTCTTTAAAGATAGCTTATTATTTTGTGTGCCTGGTTGTTCCAATCAACACCAATCAACCACGCAGAACTGCTGGGAGTTGGGAGGTATATAAATGTAATAAATATTTTATTTTTCATCTGTTCCCCCCCCCCCAAATACAAAGTCACAGCTGTCATTAAGTTCTTCCCAAGAACCTAGAATGTTGTAATGCACTGGCATAGTGAAGTGCGGATCCAAACATTGTAGCCTTTTGCAAGTGACTGATGGAAATTTTGTGAATACGCAGATTATTTTACGTGCGTTCAAAGATTTTCTTTTTAATGATACCAACAGAATATAACTAACCGACTGTTGCGTCTGCCATACTATAATGGTTCTTCATTCTGAAGTCCGAAAGGCTTTTGATTGACATGATCTTTGAGGACAGAAGGTGGTTTATTTTACCATCAGAGAAAGAGATCCTAACATTTTTTTTTTTTTTTGCAACGTGGGCATTCTTGCTGAAGTCCCCCAGGGCCACAGAGTCAACATTCGGGCATAAACAAAACGGCAGCCTTTAAAAACGTCAATGACACGCGGTCATTTCTCACGACCCGACCTCTCCCCTCCTACGTGGCGGGAGGTCTAGTGCTCTCGCCGCCATCTGGCAAGTCATGCCTGTGCGATCACGGCGAAAAGACTCACCTGCACCTCAATCTCCGGCGGCCACTCGGTGTTGACCAGCAAGTCGTAGAGAATGTTATCCTCTCCATCCTCCTCTTCCTCCCCCTCTCTCATCTTACTGCCGCTGCTTTCCCCCTTCTTTCCCCGGATAGCAGCCATGACTATTCTCAGCCGGTCCCGCTACGGCGGCCTGTAGCGGACAAGCCAGGCTACTAGCGAAGACGCCTCTATTAACGCTTCACTTTCCCTGCCCAGAACAGTTCTGAGCTGCGCTGGCGATCCTGGGACTCTTCCATCCGCGAGCACAATCTCGCGCGATCCGGGGTCAATGTGGATCAGAAAGTCGTCAAGAACTAAGGAGCTGCTTGTTGCATTTAAATTGTCAACGGCTGTTAAGAACTATGCCCAATCCGATTTTTTTTCTTTTTCTCCCTAGTTTGTATTTTTAGTTTGCAATTTTAATTTTTGAAAAAAATCAATTAAAAAGATAGAGCCTTGCTTAAGCAGGCAGAGTTCCACATAGGCAGAGTTCTACATATACAGAATCAGCCTGTAACGTTCTTAATATTAGAAGATGCTCATTAAATGTGTCAGTTCCAGATGTGTTTGCATGGCAACTGCCAAATAATTCCGACTCGGTATTATAGGAATTCCGAACACATCTGGAAGGCATTAGGTTGAAAAGCTACATTATTCTTCCCATATAACTACAAATCTAGAGCTACAAAAATTCGAATTAGTAAACGATTGCAGTAAAAGTTTAGGTTTTTTTAATCGTCCGGATTGTTGCAGCGCTGATCTGACAACCCCAAACGGTGCGGTTTAATAAAGAATCTGCAGTGTATCTGACTAGCGATTGCCGGAGCCTATTGCGATTGCCGGAACCTTAATTGAGTGGCTGCAGTAACAGCCCGGAGAATTAAGAACGAGGACTTTCAAGTGCGCAGGCGCTGTAAAGTCGAGAGCAAGAGCCTTGAAGGATTGTGCGCCCGGTTAACGGGGAGGGTGCAAGAATGGCGGCGTTTTCAGGTACGTGGCTCCTACCAAGTAACCTAGGATGGAGGCAGAGGAAGGCGCAACGGCATAAAACTTTGATTCTGAATACTGCAAGAGTGCGCTTTTGAGGAAGAGATTTTTGTGTTGGGAATTTACGTAAAGCCGAGTTTCATCTCGGATCGGTTTCGTCCAAAGCTCCAGCATTAGAAAGAGGCTCTCAAAGGGGGAGCTAGTTCCTTTTTAAAGGCTGATGTATGTCTCCGCTCATTGGCCATCAAACTCCTGGATCCAGGCTGTTATAGAATTCTCTTTCCAAATCCTTTGGATATTTGCACATCGTAAGACTCATTTTAAAATAATGTAATTGACACCGGAGAATCTAGGAATGTCCTGATATACTACCTACGTTATGTTTTATAGTACCATGTTGAGATTATAATTACAAGCACCCATCCTCGGCTAGAAAGAGTGTTTCTGAGCATTGGGAAAGTGTTTTCTCCTTGTTAAAAATTAGGACATATATTCAAATGAGTCTTCACAGGTAGACTTGTTATGTGTGCTATAGGGATAGACTTTGTCTCTTCAAAGTGTATCTTGTTCGTTCTGTGAAAGTGGAAATATAATTTCTGTATGCAATAAAATAAGAGAACCCGATTTTCAGAAGGAATAAAAATAGAAATAGAGCTGGAAGGGACCTTGGAGGTCTTCTAGTCAAGCCCCTTGCTCAAGCAGGAGAACCTATCATTTCAGACAGGTGACTGTCCAGTCTCTTCTTAAAAACCTTGAGTGATGGAGCGCCCACGATTTCTGAAGGCAAGCTGTTCCACAGATTGATTGTTCTCACTGGTAGGAGGTTTCTCCTTAATTCCATGTTGCTTCTCTCCTTGATTAGTTTCCATCCATTGTTTCTTGCCTTGTCTTGCCTTCTGGTGCCTTGAAAAATAATTTGACCTCCTATTTAGATTTTAGTGCAGGCATGTCAAACTTGCAACGTCACGTGACGTTGCGCGACATATCGGAGCTTTTTCGCCATTGCCGGCAATGGGATGGGCGCAGCTCCGGTATGATGAAACCGGCCCATGGGCCGGCAGTTTGACACCCCTGTTTTAGTGCTTCATACAGTACCCTAGCATGCATATAATACTGCAACATTAAAATTTGTAACAATTTTTTGCAAACTTGTTTTTCTTCCTCCAAATGTAGTAACACAGCTTGTTAATCGTATTCTTCTATGGTTGCAGAAATGGGTGTTATGCCAGAAATAGCTCAAGCTGTAGAAGAAATGGACTGGCTGTAAGTATGATTATATTCTTTTATCCCCAGTTTTCCTAGTGGGATGGAAAGGATTTTTCACTGATGCAACAGACTGATTCTAGAAATCTTACTTCAGCTCAGTGCAAGATACTTAAGGCAATGATTTACCATTTATTTAGGAGAAAAGCATGGCAGTACTCAAAACACAGTATGCAAAAAAAAGATAAGCTTGTAAACAATTTAGATTTTACAGTCTAGTAAATTTTAACCTATCCAAAGGGAATGGTCGATCACTTGCTGCTGTTGTCTCATTCAGATAAACTTCTCTTGTACAGTGTCCTGTGTATGACCTTCCCCCCCCCCCTTTTCACAGGCCAGAGAGATTGGTTAAATAAGCTGTCTCTTCCTGCTTTTCTCTTCAGCAGAGCAGTTCTGTAAAAGGTGTTAACTGCAAATTAACAGGATCAGTTCTGTGACCTTAACTAGTTGATTACAACCCTTGGCCTGCTTTCCCCTGCTGCCGGAAAACCAAACCTTAATCAGTTTCACACTAAAGGCTTTAGTTGTCAGGCACACCATTGGGGCCAGATGGGTGACAAAGTAATTTAATAAATAAGTAAAATAAACATGCATTGACTGGAAAATGAATTTATTATTACTGTCGTATTTGCAAATTTTTGCTTTAAATGTGGCTATATTTTACAAAATAATCTGAAAATATATCCTGAAGATGTTTGGATTTTGGTTTTTCAGTAAAATGTGAGAGATTCATTATGGTTTTACATTAGTCTGCCTACAGATATCCAAGCGGAGTCCATTCCATTGATTTTAGGAGGAGGCGATGTACTCATGGTATTTATTACACAAGTCTGTCTTATAGAATAATGTTGTATGATGTAATGGTTTATTCATTCTGCTTTGTGTCAGACAGTTCAAATTTTATATTACATTTTAGTATACTGTGGTAATATTGATTATGTATGGAAAATTACAATTTAGAGATGAAAGGATAAATTGAATATGCAGGTTACACAATGAAACTGAATAAGTTAATATTCTTTTTAAATTTTCAACAATACTGCATCATCTGCTTCTCTTCAAAATGAATTAGAATAGAGCTGGAAGGGACCTTGGAGGTCTTCTAGTCTAGCCCCCTGCTCAAGCAGGAATCCCTATATCATTTCAGACAAGTGGCTATCCAGTCTCTTCTTAAAAACTTTGAGTGATGAAGCATCCACAATGTCTGAAGACAAGAGTTCCACTGGTTAATTTTCCTCACTGTTAGAAAGTTTCTCTTTAATTCCAGAATGCTTGTCTTCTTGATTAGTTTCCATCCATTGTTTCTTGTCCTGCCTTCAGGTGCTTTGGAGAATAGCTTGATTCCCTCCTCCTTGCGGCAGGCTCTCAAGTACTGGAATACTGCTATCATATCCCCCTTAGTCCTTTTCTCTAAACTAGTCGTTCCCAAATCCTGCAACTGTTCTTCATATGTTTTAGTCTCCAGACCTTTGATCATCTTAGTTGCTCTTTGAATTTTTTCCAAAGTCTCAACATCTTTTTTGTAGTATGGTGACCAAAATTGGTTGCAGTATTCCAGTGTGGTCTTATTAGGGTTTTATAAAGCGCTACTAATACTTTGCATGATCTTGATTCTATGCCTCTGTTTATACAATCCAGGATTGTATTAGCTTTTTGGGCTGCTGCTGCACACTGCTGGCTCATATTCAATTGATCATCCATTAGGACTCCAAGGTCCCTCTCACGGTTACTGTTTTTGAGCCAGGTCTAGCCTAATCTGTACTTATACCTTAGATTTTTTCTGCCTAAATATAAAACTTTGTTTTTCTCCACATTAAAATTCATTTTGTTGGACAGGGCCCATTGTTCAAGTCTGTCAAGATCTTTTTGGATTCTGAGCTTGTCTTCTGGGGTGTTGGGTATTCCTGCCCACTTAGTGTCATCTGCAAATTTGATGAGTTCCCTTTCTGTTCCCATATCTAAGTCATTTATGAAGATATTGAAGAGTACTAGGCCTAAGACAGAACCTTGTGGTACCCCACTGGTTACTTCCCTCCATGTAGAGGTAATACCATTAAGGACTACTCGTTGAGTATGATTTGTTAGCCAGTTACAAATCCATCTGGTGGTTATGCTGTCTAGCTTATCAAGAAGTAGGTTATGGTCTACTTTGTCAAATGCCTTGCTGAAGTCTAAATATAATATGTCCACATGATTTTGCTGGTCTACTAATTTAGTTATTTGGTCAAAAAATGAAATAAGATTGGTTTGCCATGATCTGTTTTTAAGAAACCCGTGCTGGCTACTAGTTGTAACTTTATTTGTTTCTAGATTTTTTAATTATTTTTTCCAGTATCTTCCCAGGTATTGATGCCAGTCTGATTGGTTTGTAGTTTCCTGGGTGTTTTTTTTTTCTCTTTTTTTGAAGATGGGAACCACATCAGCTCTTTTCCAATTCTCTGGTAGTTCCCCAGTGCTCCAAGATTTGTGCTTCCGCAGTGCTTCATCTAGGACTAGCTACTTGCTAGACTCTACAATATATATTTCCTAAATGACTTTTTAAAAGAAAATATGTAGCTAATTTTGTTTTGGAATTATTACAAATGATAGTATAAAATAGTAATCAACAGCTAATATACCAATGTTCTGGGATTTTACAATTTTTATACTGTTTAATAACACAAAACTGTTTCATCTTGCATTACCAAAAAAATAATTTATATCTTCATGTTTTATTAATTTTTCTACACAGGCTGCAGAAACTGGAAGTGGAAAAACTGGTGTAAGTGAAATTGGTATTTTGCAAAATAATATGCAATTATATACTCATAATGTATGCAGTTCTGTGGAAATATAAAGTATTAATAAATAATAGTATATTTATCCAACAGCTGTACTATGAATTAGTTTAGCCTAAAGGTAAAGGAATGCCCATGTTATGATCTGGGTGATGTTAAGAGACTTAATCATGGATACCTTGTCAGTAAATATTCCATCCATAGATGTGGATTAATGTGTTATATAAATGTTATGATGAGATGTATCAACATTGCTGAGTTATTAATTTTAAAAAGAAACTCTGCTCTTATTTCTGTTTAGCCAAATTTACTTTGTAATTCAGACTTTGAATAAGATTACTAGTGAAATAAATAACTTTATATTTCAGGCATTCAGCATCCCAGTTATTCAAATTGTTTATGAAACACTAAAAGATCAACAG